CGACGGATAAAATGGGCTTTGAAAGACAGCTTGTCGTTATACCTGAAAAACTCAAGCCGTCAATTATAAAGATGTGCCACGAAGGAACTTCTGGCCATTTGGGTGTCAAAAAGACCAAAGACAGACTTGCTAGATATTTTACTGGACGAGGTGTTACAAAGAAACTGAAGATTTTTTATGAACCTGTGATGCTTGTCAGCGCGCTGGAAAAGGAAATGACAAAAAGAAGGCTCCAATGACATTAGTACCAGTAATTTCCGAAATATTCACTAAAATAAATAAATGCCGATGCCGTTGGTCCGCTACCTATTTCGAACACTGGAAAAAAATATATTATTACAGCTCTGTGTATGTCGTCCAAATATCCAGATGCTGTAGCGGTGACAGACATTTCTTCGCCATCTGTGATTGATGCTTTCTTACAGATTTTCAGTCGTATGGGTTTTCCAAAAGTGATCCAAACAGATCAGGGGACCTCTTTCGTCAGTGCTTTGACAGAGGAATTTTTGGAGCGTTTCGGCATTAAACATGTAAGAAGCTCTGTGTATCATCCGCAGAGTAATCCCGTTGAGCGATTCCATAGAACGCTAAAAAGGGTGTTAAGAGTCGTATGTATAGGAGCGACTTCGGATTGGGAGAATTATCTACCATCAGTTCTTTTTGCTCTGAGAACAGTCACACACGAAAGCACTGGTTTAACACCAGCAGAATTAGTTCATGGCAAAAACCTACGAACGCCAGTCACTTTACTTTATGAGCAGTGGCTAGAACCGATTGAAGAAAGTAGTAATGTTGTCAGTTACGTTTTCGAACTTATTAATCGAATGAAGAAATGCCAAGAACGTGCCGTGGAAAACATGAAAGAAGCTCAACAACGGAGGAAAACATGGTACGATCGAAACGCAGTGAAAAGAGAATTTGCTAGAGGAGATTTAGTTCTTGTTTTATCAACGAATCGTCAAAATAAAACTAGAAGTACAGTGGAAAGGACTTGGAAAAATAGAGCAAAAAAATTTCAGAAACCAATTATATTGTTAAGTTTCGAGGAACAAAATGAGCCAAATCAAGTATATCACATTAACACATTAACATGCTTAAACCATATTACAAAAGACCAGAAATGATTAATATGATAACTGAAGTGGAAGGAGACTTAGAAATGGACATCCCCTCGTTTTACCTTCCAATCCAAGTATATTAAATTTCTCGGACATCATAGAGGAGAATGAACTCGAGAAAATGGTTGAAATCCGAGCAAATAGAAGATTTACGAAAGATTTTATGGAAATATTCTGGTTGTTTTTCAAATAATCCTGGACTAACAAACTTAGTTTGTCACGATATTGAGCTATTAAATAACGAACCAATACAAATAAAGCCATACAGACTGTCACCCCGACAGACTGAAATTCTCAAAAAGGAAATACAGAAAATGCAGAAAAACAATCTTAAAATTATAGAGCCGGGAGAATCGGACTATACATCTCCCATGATTTTGATAGAATCTTCATCAAAGGATCCTCGGCCTTGTATTGATTATCGTAAACTCAATGCTGTTCCTAAAACTGAATACTATCCTTTGCCTAATATTGAAGAACGTATCGAAACTGTAGCAAAAGCAAAATATATTACCCTATTAGATTTATCTAGAGGCTACTGGCAAATTCCGTTAACAGAAAGAGCCCAAAGATATGCAACATTTGTAACTAGTTTTGGAAGTTTCAGGCCTCTACGTTTACCCTTTGGATTAAAAAATGCCCCATATTTTTTTAGCAAAGTTATGACTAAAGTCCTGGCTGGATGCGAAGGTTTCGCTGTACCATACCTGGATGACATTGCCATTTACTCAGAAAACTGGGAAGAGCACCTTAAAAACTTAACTTCTGTTCTAGAAAGAATACAGAAAGCAAATTTACGACTAAAACCATCAAAATGTAAATTTGCACAAGATCAAGTGAGATACCTAGGTCATGTTGTGGGACAAGGACAACGAACCCCGGATGAAGTAAAGATCCTGGCTGTAAAGGAGTATCCTACACCTAAAACCAAAACAGAAGTACGTGCTTTCTTAGGACTGGTAGGGTATTATCGCCAGTACATACCGAAATTTTCAGAAATTGCTTCACCCCTCACGGACGCTTTGAAGGGGGTAGCAAAAAAAGGAAATATATAATGGTCTGAAATATGTGACAGAGCTTTTAAAAATTTAAAAGAGTTGCTATGCAAGAAACCAATTCTGTATGCTCCCGATTTTGATAAAAGTTTTATTATACAAACCGATGCCTCAGACAATGGCATGGGTATAGTACTATGCCAATTAGATGATGAACAACGTGAACATCCTATCTTGTATATAAGCAAAAAATTTACTAAGTTTTGAAAAGAATTATTGTACTACTACTACTGAAAAGGAGTGCGCTGCTATCATCTACGCTATCAAGAAACTTGCATTTTTATCTGGATGGTCAGCAAGAAATTCTTGATTCAAACTGATCATAATCCCTTTGGTCTGGCTACAATCCAACGCCAAATGTAACTCTAGATTGATGCGCTGGGCACTCTCATTACAACCTTATAATTTTAAGGTCATTCATCGCAAAGGATCTTTGCACAAGAACGTAGATGTTCTGAGTAGAATTAAGTAATGTAACTCTTAGTGTATGTAACCACGTTTAGAATTAATTTTATTGTTTAATGTATGCTCAACTAATGTATTTGAACGTTCTCCATTTCTTTCTTTTTAAATGTAGTGTAAAAGTATTGTTTAAAACTTAAATTTTTTTGGCCTGAAATTTAGAAATTTATAAGAGAAATAACCTTTGCTCTTTAAGCAAATGAGCAAGCCGAGCTTATTAAACTGTCAAATTTTACAGAACTTTTCCCTTCGGAAAAGGTCCCCCGTTGGGGGAGAGGTTGTAACAGCTTTAAATAGTATTAAAATCTTGCAGTTTAAATAATTTAAATAGATGAACATTAAGTTATTTGTGAATGGCAATATTTGAAACCAGACTCGAGTGCCACGTGCGACTCTCGCACGAAGAATGTAATTTATTTTTAAATGTTAGAATATGTTTTCTTTTCTTGTTTGTATGTCGCCATTTTTGAGTGTTAAATAAAAGTTATTGCTATGTTCCATCATTGGAGTTGCTTCATTTCGCCAAAGAAGTATTGCAGTTCCCTGTTGAACCCTGTTGAAACTTCATTCTCTGACAAATACTATTTTTATTCAAAGGTACAAAAGATATTACACCTTAAAAACGGGTAATATTCATAGAGTTATATCATTCAATTTAAAATACATATCTCTATTGCTCTGTTCGAAACCTTTATTAGTCTAACTTAAAAAAAAAAATTTACTTTTTAAGACTGATTATAAATATAGTGAATTTTTGTGTACTTGTTTAATGTTAGCTCCCAACGTCGTTTTTTGCTATTTCCCGAAAACTTGTCTCATTCGCTTGCAACACATGGATTAAATAATGAATTAAGTTTTTTTTTTTTTTTTTTTTTTGTTTTTTTTTTTTTTTTTTTTTTTTTTTTTAATTAACATTAATTAATAATACACAACACTTTTAATACCACAAATTGTAAGATGCAACCAAGCGCTAATTAATCCTTTAGGGGCTACCAAAATGTAAACAAAGGGATCACCCAACTATTCGAACGAAATTCAAGCCAAAACAATGAAGGGGTATCCTCGAGCCCAAGCAAAGTGAAGGCGTTCCTAAGCGTAGACGAAATAATGCCATCCGAAGCCATATTCAATCACGAGGAGGGACTTTTCCCAATGTGTGTGGCGCGGTACTGAATGCTTATATGCCTCCCGTTAGAAGGACAAAAAGGTAGTGGGGCAGGACGTGTAGTGCCCTGTTCAGTGTGGCGAAACACGGTAGCAAATTACTTACTTACCTAAAGTAATCTTCTCTGGGGCTGCGCATACTGGCTTAGTTTTTACTCTAACGGCTCTGGGGCACAACAACACGAAATCATTTGCTAAGCATCGCTTATCGTGGCATCGGTCATCCGAGTGGGCAAGCCTGATGGAGAAAACTACGGTATATCATTAGGCTAGTCTGCGTGCGCCTGAGAGTGATAACCATGGGTTTCCAGTAAAGTGAGGAGTTCCGAGAGAGTTCAAATTTTCTAAACTCCGGAATGGGATCCCATTGAGAGAGTTTTATCAGTACGCAGAAAGGACACCATTTTAGGGGGCTATTGACGATGTTCCCAATCTCCCCCCCTAATAGGGAGGTATAAGGTTCGTCTGTGTAGTGCCAAAATCAGAAAACGGCGGAACACACATTTTGTAATAGACTAACGTACCTCTTTTATATCTACTGAGGAATACAGGGTATTTTACTACGGCAGTAGCACTTTAGGAGAACAAACTCCTAGCCTGACAGTTCCAGAACTCTGAGAGAAGATCATTTAATACGGTTAGACTAAGGAGGATTGGCTGTAAGACTTCTAACGGGTGGTATCGGTAGCAGTCACAGCTTGCAGTTCTATCCGAATTATTTGTAATTGACTGTAAGTGTCATTAGCAGTGTAACGGCTAGTGTATTATCCACCAAATGCTGTGTAATTCCTTCAGTGCGGGGCTATCCGCGTAGCTCTGGCGGGGCATTATCGACGATCAGTCAAATTGTCAGGCTTAAAATCTCTAGAGTGGCAACAATTTGAAAAATGATACGCCGTTTTTAGTGATTGAACGCAAAAATGCCGTTTCGAGACTAACAGCCCATTTGGTCTAATGCTCCTTTTCGGCTAATAATGATTATTACACTAAATATGATTAGTGATTGGTGATCTCTTTGCTACTGCTATAATTAAGAAAGAGAAATTTCATAATGCTTCGCAAAAGGAATTATCTTTTCTCAGAGCAGATGAAAATGTAAATTACCATGATTTGATATCCTTATATATACGTATACACAGTCAAATGGCATTGAATTTGTTGTGATCAGCAATAAACTTAATCAAATCAAGGCTTACGATACCCATGCGGTAATGTGCTCGAAATCCTTTTCCGACGTTGTTACCATCAGCCACGAGTTTAACTAGCATTTGGTTACTAGTGGAAGATATGAATCCTTCTGGTTTTGCTCCGCAGTACTTCCCCAACAAGCGGGAACTGCTGTTCCTGCCATCATATATCTAAAATAAAAATATTTAATTAAGTAACTAAATTAGCATACCTTTCTTTTATTAAATTGCATTTTATTCTCAGTTCCTTTTTAAAATAATAATGAAATAAATAATTTTCATGGAAGATCCGTATTATTAAATCATCATGAAATATATTTTGTGTATCTGAATAGTTATTAGCCAAGAAAATGAATTAATTTTAAACAATCTGATGTTCTTTTTGAAATACGCTAAAATAATTCAAATAAATAGTTAGAACATATTGAAGAAAGTTTTCCATAAATTCGAATCTATTAAAAAATCTGATGTGGGCAACACATGACTTCCTTCTATTTCCATATACATATTTTTTCCTGCATTTCATTTAAACTTATTCCCTCGAATTTTTATCAGAGATATACTTTAAATAAATTCAATAAATTCAGTTCTCGCTTCGCAGCGAAGCAAAAACACTTAATAACTCAAAATATGTTTATTGATATTTGAAAAATATAGAAAAACATAAAACACCAAATATAGTTAAAGCAGTTAAAAACTTTTACAATTAGAATTATAGTTCCTCAGCAAAAACAAGCTATTCAGCCAGCGGGCAAGAAGACAGATTTTGCGGTGCACAAAACTTAAAGCTTACTTTTGGTCTCACTCGACAGAAAGACACTGAAAGAAGCAGAAACTGACTTATTCCTGCTATTATGGCACTATTCTGCTAAGTTTCAAATGTAAACTAACAGCCGCTCCGTTAAGCTTAGTAGCAATTAAACAATTTTTAAATAGTTAATGATTTTACAACTATTGCATGCAGATTAAATGAAGGCATAAAAACTTTAATCGGAACATAAGAGCAACATAATCCAATCATTTTTAAACAAAAAAATACAGTATTTAACAATATATAAGAATAAAAAGACTGAGCTCAACGAGCCGATTAATAGACTATATATATATATTTATATAAACATTTACTAAATAAATATTGATTATATTATCTTCTAATATAAAGTTCGTAGAATGTATCAAAATGAGGGAACCCAGATGTAGGAAGTTTAATTCCGAAAATTGTTTTTTAAAAGAAACTTGAATGTAAATCATGAAAAAACTTTTTAAGGGGACTTCAATTTAAATCATGAATAACAAAAATTCAAACTTTGAAAAAGAAAATTAATAAACCAAGTAATTATCGTCGTCATTGATCGGAAATTAGTTGACTTTTCAAGGGGAACAAACCGTTCTCCCGTTCAATTAAAAAAAAAAAAAAAAAAAAAAAAAAAAAAAAAACCCTCTCGTTCAATGAACAAAAATTAACAAATGCGAAGGTGTTTTGTCTTTTACTCAAGTAAGAATGATGACGCCAAACTGGCAAATTAAGCTAGGCCGAAATTGCAGTTCCGTTAAGTGATTGACTTTTTAGAAAACTTGAGACATTAAAGCCAAATTAGAGTACCAAAGAATTCATTTTGCATGTAGCATTTTCGCTAATACAATAGATTCTTTAGAAATTTTGAGTGAATAGCCGAATTATGTAGTGTCTCAAGTTTTCTAAAAATCCAATCACTTAACGGAACTACAATTTTGGCTTAGCTTAATTTGCCAGTTTGGCATCGTCATTCTTACTTGAGTGAAAGACGAAACACATTCGCATTTATGAATTATTGTTCATTGAACGAGAGTTGGTTTGTTCCCCTTGAAAAGTCAACTAATTTCCGATCAATGACGATAATTACTTGGTTTATTAATTTTCTTTTTCAAAGTTTGAATTTTTGTTACTCAGGATTTAAATTCAAGTCCAATTAAAAAGATTTTTCATGATTTACATTCAAGTTCCTGTTCCTTTTACAAAACAATTTTCGGAATTCAACTTACTACTTCTGGGTTCCCTCATTTTGATACATTCTAATAAATTCATATTAGGAGACAATATAATCAATATTTCTTTAGTAAATAAATTATTATTATCTTACTTTGCAACTATTGCGCAAGTATTAGAAAAACTTGTTTTCGATTTCAATGAATTTTTGTTCGTTCAATATATCTATATTTGACAAATGGTGACACATATATTCTTTTGGTATGACCAATTATAATCAAAAAGGGAGATGCACAACTACCTATTATAGCAGTCCCATAAACAAAATTTCATCGTTTTGAGGCCACTAGTTTTCGAATAACTTATTTTGAAAATTTGATAAATAACAATGGATATCGTAATTTTTTTTTTTAAATTTTTCTTACTGTTTAGTAATGTAAACGGAAGTTAAACCATTTAAGTGTTGTATTTTTCGAAGATCCACTGATGAACTGTTCGGTTTTATTTTAGGTTAAGCCCACTTTTTATTTGGATGTACGTACTAACCACTATACGAAAACTTTCATGGTCATTATTTAATTAAATGAATAAAAGTTTAAAAAAGATTTTTGGAATTACACAAAGATACTTTCTATATTTGACAAATGGTGCCGTTAAAATTTTATAATAATTGTATTACACCATAACAAATGGTGACTAATTTTCTCTCCATGTAGCACTGTAATGATGTAGATTTCTCTATATTCTCTGTTTATAAGGATAGAGGGTTCTATCAATTTCTGTCATAATCTTCTACTGGGAAGTTCTCTTGTTCCCTGGTGAACTTAAGTTTATTAATCTAGATACTTCTTATACTGACAAAATTTAAGAACTCTATTATATTTTTTTGTGTTCGTGTGTGTTGCTATAGTTCGTGTGCTTTGCTTCGTGTGTGTTGCTTATAGTGCTTTACTACTGTTATTTTTTGTCTGAGCATTTAATGCGGTTTTTCAGTTTTGCTCTGTTACCTGTGATTCATCAAGATAGTCCCTACGTTTCATGGGATAATTCAATGGTAAGTGGCTGAATGATTACCATTATTGCAATTCACACGTTTTGCTCGCTCCAGGTTTGCACTCGTACGAGAAGAAGCTCAAAATTCACACCCGTAAAAACGTCAAGTACGCACCCGTACGAGAAATGTCATCTTCTACAATGTATACGTTTAAGTGCCTTGAAGCATTCACGTTGCGTATGTTTGTACTCTAGTAACTAAAACACTGTCCAAGTTTACATAAAAAAATGTTTCATACTGTACGTTAATATTGGTCCAAAATACATGCACACTACATGTTGAAAATTGGCATGGACTAACAATTTGAGGTGCAAATATTCTATATTATGACCCATTTTCGTTTATTAAACAGCTTGCAGCTTGGAACAAGATCATTTGTTTATTTTTAATATTTTTTAAATGCTTCTAGATATTGTGTGTGTGTGTGATTATGGCAAAGCCTTGAGCGCTATCTGCCTAAGGGAAGGGATGACTTCGTAAAGGACTTTCTAAGGAAATCTGGCTCGTATACACGTTACACATCGGGAAAACCACGAAAACGCCCAAGCAGCCAGCCCGTTCGCGGGATTCGAACCTCGGACCGAACTACCAGTGTTCAGCGACTTTACCGCTAGGTCGCTGGTGGGCTTCTGGATATTAAATCAGTGGATGGGTTAGAGCTTTACTGGAGAATTTACTGTGATGATATTAATATATAAATTTATGTAACATTTAAACTAGATATTAATATATAGTTCAAATTTATCAAATTATGAAGTTTATCTTTTAAATTATAGGAGGAGTAATTACGGTTTCTACGAAAGAATGAACTTGCGAAAGCTTTGTGATCCGCCTTCATTTTCCATTTTTATTAAAATTATAATATTTTATTTCATGATAGTTATGTTTAAAACTTTTCTGTTTCCTAACCGGAAGTTTTATTATGAAATGAAATATAATGCTAATCGCAAATAAATATTAAATTTTAAGAATTAAAAAAATACTGCAAGGTAATAAATAATTAATGCGTATTTTCTAAATTTAATTTTATCGGTTGTCACTAAAACCTAAGAAACTGTGAGACTGTGACTGTGAATGTGACTGTGACTGTTTAAGAGAGGACTGTGATAGTACTTGAAGAAATCTCTATTATTATAGAAAAAATAGATATAGAGTATAATGCTAGGGATAGGCAGATAGCTATCATTCTAGAGATCTCTATTAGTTTTGCCATTAAAGCTTAAGAAAAGCATTCCTGCAAATGGGATCTTTATAAATTGAGTTTTAAATTTCCAGACTTCATGATTCATGTTAACTGAAACTTTATGCTTCTTACTGATAAAAGTATACGTTATAAGAAAAATTAACCAATAAAAGAGATATTAAAATAACAAAATTGAATTTCATTAAAAACTTACCGCTACATGTCCAAGTGAGCAATTGGTCCCTTGTGGAATTTCGAAATCATAAAATTCTAACTCCACTCGGTGACCGGAAGACGTCTGTATCAAATATTCACATTCGTCATTAACGTTGTAAGGATCCGGAAAATTTGGAGAAAGGATTGTGCTTTCCGCTGCTGTGAATCGACCTCCGCATCCTGAAGTTCCTGTAGAAGTTTAATGGAAATAAGTTATTTTACAGTCAAAAAGCGTTAAAATTTTCAATATTTTAGAGCAAGCATTTGATTCAAACTTAGAATATTGTTAAGAAATTTTGCACAGAGATAGATGATTTTAGTGTAATTTTATGTGAAACTGCTGTATTTCTTTTGTATAATGTAACATGAAAATCTAAATGACAGAAGTTATTCCGGAAAGCAAGAATACAGGGGCAATTCCATTTAACATTGAGTAAATGGGCATCTGGGTTATTTGGGGAGATATCTCTAAAATATTTTTGTCGAGTCCCTGTATCACCATAGTAGGTATTGTAATTGAATAAATGTAATTCATCACTACTTATAACCATAATTCCACAAGCATATTACTTTCCAGTAATTTCGAGAAGCAGAAAGTACTAGAAATATCTCGGCGGCCGATTGAAAACTATATAAGGTAGGAGAGAGCATCTGCTCTCAGTTGTTTTCATTGTTATTCCAAGTTATTAGTTCAGAGTGAACTGATACATCTCCGCTTTTTTGATATAGCTTCCTCTTTAGGTGCGCTTTGCTTTTTTTTTTTTTCGCGTTGTGTTTAACATTCTTAATAGTATGAAGTATAACTACTAATCATACTCTGTCGTACTGTGAACACCTGTATGGGTATTTCTGCAGAAAATGCCTGAACTTTGAAGTGATTTTATTTGACAAAAATAAATTTTATTAAGTTATCATCGGACCTGTGTGCATTTTATATATTACGAACCCGCACGCACGCAACAATATATTTTTTGTCATAACTGTGCTTTTTTAATTTTCATGTTACGCTTTTCAAGTTGCTTTGGGAATTTTACTTTCATATTTTACTTATCTTGTGAACATGTATTGTTGAGATGTTGAGATGTACATTTGTAACTAAAAAAACCATGCAATGAAAATATGAATTATTTAAATACTTCTTGATTGTTGACTATTTCTATATATTAAGGTATTCGACTACATTCTAATCGTCAGTTTTGATGAAATGTTTCAAAAAAATTTATTACTTTATTTTAAAGTTTATACATTAAGCTTCCCAAAACTACTTTTACTTTGTCTCTGCAGTCTTTAGTAGCAGAAGTATGGCTGTTCTACACCGTGAACCGGAAATTTCTGTTTAAGAACTTGAAAGATGGTGTCCAAAGGTACCACTAGATAACATTAACATGAGAATATTTCATTTTAATACTTTAGTGATGTTCAAAAGATGCTTTTGAACCTTTATACTTGGTATTAAATGCTCTGGAATAAAATTAGTAATTTAATTAACGACTATTAGTAACTTAATGTAAATGTAAATGTTGCCAAGTTAATTAAATTACTATAAAATTAGTAATTTAATTAACTTGGCAACATTTTTTTCCTTCTAACTTTACGTTAACAATACGTCAAACCTACTTTTGAAAAGCTTGATTTTTTTTCACTTTTTCTGTTACGAAAGAAACTAACTTAAAATATTACTACAGCAATTTTATGAAACTTTCCAAAAATATTATATGAAATTTTGTGAATGAAATAGACTAAACGTTTATGTACATATCTAAAACATTTTCAGACAATTTTGTAAATGAAAAGAAAGAAATTTCTCGAAAAGTAATTAATCCACGTACTCAAACAGTTATATTTAATAGGCATTTTACGTTACCACTTAGATTTTAGTCCATTAATTACTTATACCTTAATAAATTTAAGTGACAAAAATAAAAGTATAATGAATGAATACGAATGTATCCACAGAATTCACATGAGATTCCATAGATATAGAACCTCTTACTACAAATTAAGAAATATCATTTATAAGACTCATTCTGATGATTTGTAAACAAATACAAATATTTCTTATTTTTACCAGTATCAAGTTTCTTGAAGGATGCCTTGAAACCCCTGCCATTTATGTACGAATCACTGCTGAAGTGGACTACCATTTGATTTCCATGACTTGTAACTATCTGGCTGCCATTTATTCTGTGACAGGTATTCAAAAGTCTTGGAGAGTTCTCGTCTTCCCCTCCGTAAACCTGAAATTCAGAAAATTTTAGACTCAACAGAAATAGGAAGCTGATAACATAATCATTTAAAGAGAAGAGATTATAAAAAAATGCCTGATCTAAATACAAATACTTTCGAGAAGCTTGAGTCTGTACAGTGTTTAATTTCATCTGAAACTTAAAAGTGTTCTGAATCAAAATAAGCATTCCGTCATAATCATTGACTCATCATCTTCTTCCTAAACAAATGGAAAAGTTATGACAGCAACAGTATGCCTTCTCAGCGAATGTTAACCTCTCTTCTGCGCTGTAAGTATACTTTGAAGGCCTGTAAAACCTGGGTAAGCAATCGTAACAAAATAATAAGAAAACCATGCATTCAGTTATGGTTAATAAAGCCTCCGATTAACTAAAAATCTAATTTGTTTGAGGCATGTCCTAAGGAACAAATTTATGTTCAAAGAAATGATAGTCTTTTCTTAGTTATGGTAAAAACGATTACATTTATTTGGAGCATACACCACAGAAGTGATTGGATTGGGTTATTCAATTATGGCAAAGCACACGAGGGCTATCTGCCTAAAGGGAGAGATGCCTTCGTGGAGGACTTTCTAAGGGAACTGGCTCGTATACACGTTAGACATGAGGAAAAACCACGAAAACTCCCATGCAGCCAGCCCGTTCGCGGGATTCGAACCTCGGACCGAACTACCAGTGTTCAGCGTCTTTACCGCTCGGCCGCTGGTGGGCCTCAGAGAAGTGAAGAGAATAGACTATCATTATTAGACTGGAATTCTTTGTATAAGATTTGTTCTAAATTAATTATTGCTCTAGTAATTAACGCCCATTTATAACTTTTCCATTTAAAAAACCATTGTAAAAGAATAACATCCGCTTTTGTAATTTTTAATCAAAATTTTCGGATATTTTGACGAAACATTTAAACTTGAAAAATTCATTTTAAAGGATATTAAAAATGTATCTACTAGTTAAGGTTAAGGTTAAGGGTGTGTCTCAAGCAAAGCAGCTTATTTCAGTTTTAGAAATCTGAAAAAAAAAAAAAAAAAAAAAAAAAAAAAAAAAAAAAAAAAAAAAAACAAACCGAGTTTTATGTATTTTTGCCTTGTCGCGAAATAAGAACTGAATTGATTGAATGAAAAATATATTGTTAATGAATTTCAGGGAAATAATTTTAAATGAAATGCAGCAGATATGTCCACATCAGATATTTTATTATTTATAAAATTCAAACTAACTGCATGTAATATTCAGTTTTGGTTTCGTATGAAGCATGAGGGATGTGATACGATATTTGATTATACTTTTCCCTATAGCAGAAGCAGAATGTAAAATTTTATCCAAATCACAGTATATCATAAACAATGCACCTTTTTTTCCGACTCGCGCATTATGAAGAAAAGGAAAAGAAAATAAGTTACTATAAACTAAGAACTTCGCCAAGTGAATTATTCTTGGCGTAAACTGAAAAAGTGCGCCAAGATAAATTTTTGAATTTCTCGTTAAGTTTCTCACCTAATTTTCCAAAATTTAACTTTGGCACAATTGGAGTCGTAGAATCGAAGTAAGAAAAAAATCTGTATTCACTTCAGAAAAAGTCTGATTTTTGTAGCTAAATACCTATACTAGAATAATGCTACGTATAAATCTAATATATATCCTTTAAGTCGCGCTTTCGAGACATGAAGAACTCAATTAAATTTCTTCGATTGGCACAGTAGGACAGGAAATATAGAGCTGTCCTTTTTTTGTTATATGCAGAGTGTACTTCATTTTAAAATTATATTTAATTTTTTCCCTGATTTAATGACATTCCGGTGACAGTCGTTAACTGGAGTTCCATTACATATAAATTAATGTTTTATTTAATTACTTATTTGAATTAAATTTTAATTTGAACTTCTGATACTTTTGGCTTTTAGAACTTGTCGTAGTGGGAAAACTAGAAAAAATGATATTCCCAATCGGAATGCTTTGATGCTTAGAATGCAAAGGTTTTCCCAAGCAGATCGAATTTCGATGATTAAACAGTATATTTTAAAACATAGATTAGATCACGATATTATCTTTCTCACATTCTGTGTTAGTGACTGCAATGGTTTATTCCTGACTTCGTCCATTTTTTCCGATCTCAGAAGAGACGAGGAACCATTTTGTATCTGATAGTACTGAATGCTACCAGTTTCAGGAAATCAGGCTACCAAGAGGAAAATTATCAAGGACCAAGAACGAATCAATTCACATGCATTTAGAAAGGTATCTTTAAGGTGCTTCAATAATATTTCTGCAAACACGGGCTGCAAAATAATGCTTAATCAAAAATAAAAATCATTTTGCTTGATTAAAACTCATCTCTGTCTTGCACCAAACGAAGAGTTTTTAAAGATAAGAGCATAAACTGCAAGTGAAATTTGAAGTAGTGTATTGTATGTACCCGTATAGTGAAATCGTTCATAGAAACAATTGCCATTAATACCAATATTGATATTTGCCAAATGTTTGAAAGTTTGACTGCGCGACTTTTGGATTACCCTGCAGAAATTGATAGGATTTTTACTGTTTTGTACTTTATGTCCGAACAAAACCAAAAAGGAGAAAAAGACTTCAGCTTAATCTCAATGAATTAACGTTCTGAAAAATCCAGCTACAACTACTTCAGTTAAAATGTACTGTTTTATAACTTCAGAAAAGGCGAAAGCATTGTACACAACAAGGATTTCTGAGGCAATTTACATACGATGGGTGGCTATAGCGCCGCTGTCGCAAGTGAACGGTGAGCTTTTTATGCAAATAAAATATACGTATTGAATACAGTAAATTAAAACTACTCAGTTGCCAAAAGAGGGTAATTAATTTATTTAATTTCCTTTTAAGTTATTAGACTTTTTTTTTCATCTGAAACTTTCGCTTATTTTAAAATAATGTAAATATAGACTTGTGTGTTTTGAAAAATTTTAGTTGCGTCTCTCGAACTTTGTTTGAATTCCAACATGCGGCTAATGCTGACATGAAATTTGGCCACACTGTTATATACTTTCCAATAAAAATGGCAGTGATGAGTTATGTTTTAGAATTTTGAATGATGATAATAATGTGATGACATGAAAAATACGTTTAGCTTTGTTTGACTAACGTTAAATTTTTACTTTCATTACTCTACACTACATCAAATTTTTGATCTAGTAATTCTGTTACTTAGACCAAAATCAGGTTCCAAGGATTTCGGTTTGAATTTGATTTATGAAGCACAGCCAGCATGCATTATTTCCTTCCAACTGATTTGATTAAACAAGGAAAATACCCTTTGCGTTTATTTAGTACTTCTGAAATAATGGTACTACTTATGGTAAAGTGGGCATCCGGTTATACAGAGCGTACCGTAAATGTTGCGATAAACTTCTAGGGAGTTAGGGCACATTGTAAGGATAAAGAATTGCGTAGGAACCCATAGCCGGAAATGTGAAAGGTAAGTGGTAACAGAGGTAGAAGATTGGGAAAAGAAACAAGAGTGATTAATTTGAAACATTTAATGGACATGAATACAAATGGTGTACGACAGCTTGAATGTTACAACAGATGCTCGAAGTTTGCAGCATCAGACGCCAAACATGCCTGACATCGACGGACCATATATTGCCGGACATTTTCAAACACACCGGGAGTTTCTTTGATTGTAGCAGATGCGCAGGCGAGTCTTGCCACGAGGTCCATTTCAGACACGACAGGATCGTGATACACGACACTTTTGATGGCTTCCCACAAAATGAAATCAAAGCCCGACAAATCCGGTAAACGTGGGGGCCAGGTAACTGGTCCACCACGTCCAATCCATCAATGTGGAAAAGATATGTTCAAATAGCTACGAACATCCAGTCCAAAAGGAGCAGAGGCCCCATCATGTTAGAATCACATGTTGCGCCTCACATTTGGTGGAACATCGTCAAGCAAATCGGGATGACACTTCTCCAGAAAGATCAAATAGTTCGCGGCATTCAAATGGTCCGTTGGTGTCATGCATGTTTGATGTCTAATGGTGCAAACTTTGAGCATCTGTTGTAACATTCAAGCTATCGTACACCATTTGTATATTCAAGTCCAATAAATGTTTCAAATTAATCAATCTTACTTTTTTCTCCATCTTCTACCTCTGCTACCACTCACCTTTGAAATTTTCGGGTATAGATTCATATGCAAGTCTTAATCCTTACGATGTGCCCTACCTTCCTTAGAAGTTTGTCGCTAAATTTATGGTACACCCTGTATACATTCCAACAAAGATGGCAATTATGAGTTACGTTTAGAGCATTTAAACATTATAATAATGTGATGACGTGAAAACTATATCCCAGTTCCTTCCCGAAGTCGACTGGGGCAACCCACGGCGTTCTGACTATGACTTGTACTTAGAGTGATCTGTTGGGGTACATAATCAGTCTTCACAGTGACTAAAACCAATGTTGATTCGGTGGTAGGTTCAGGCTTGAGGCCGAACTAATATTGTCTTGTCTACCCCTTGGTTTTGGGAACATTACATAAGTAGATATTGTCTTCGAGGGGTTAGATTCCGTTGGTCAGCACGATGGTCTTCGTCTTAGTTCATCGTTCCTTTTGTGTGGCGGCCGGTTGCTGCCCGACTGCACCTGTTTTACATTTCGTATCTTTGAAGGGCCCACCAGCGGCCGAGCGGTAAAGTCACTGAACACTGGTAGTTCGGTCCAAGGTTCGAATCTCGCGAACGGTCTAGCTGCATGGTCGTTTTCGTGGTTTTCCCATGTGTAACGTGTATACGAGCCAGTTTTCCTTAGAAAATCCTCCACGAAGGCATCCTCCCCTTAGGCAGATAGCCCTCGAGGCTTTGCCGTAATTAAATAACCTAACCTAACCTTTCTTGACTGTGTGCATGGTTGTCGTCTGGGGCTGGCGCTTCCTTGGATCAGCTCCAGGATTGAGGCGTTAGTAACTATGTTAAGGGCTTTAAATAGCCGAGGTCAAGGATTCCCTTCTTCCTAGTGTACTAGCTTACTACCACTATGGTTTTGTGAAATTTACTTGAATGGGTAAATCGAAGAATTTCGTTCACTCAGTATGAAAATTAATTCATCAGTTTGTAAATATGGTATAAAATTATTTGTATTGTAAACATTACTGTGAAAGACCAAACTAGGAAATGTCGACATTCTCCGGCGAATATCAACTCATACCAAATACGTCGGTTAAGACCGAATGTTTGGTTATATTCGGTCTAGGCATTTGGGCTGTGATCGGTGTATGTCGATAAGCACAGATATGCTGTGGTGAAAATTGAAACGAGAAGTTCAGGAAACAGAAAGAGAGGCGTTTTAAAACAAAGGACTGTTGTGCGATTCATAGAGTCCATAACAGTTTAAGCTGTTACAATTTATAACACTAAAACATGAATCAAATATTAAGTAAGCTTATTATTGGTGTTATTTTCCTTTCTCATTTAGTAGTACTGTTCATTTTAAGTTCAACAGTTTATTTACATGTGCTGTTACTTACGCTTTCTTCTATTTTGACATATATTATAATATGGTTTAATAATAAAGTATGATTTATAAATATAACAAAAATTTTTTTATTCACGGTAAACTCGACATTCACCATCGATCATGGTGAATGTCGATGTTTACCGATGTGAGAAATAATTTTAATAAGAAATATTTTCTAATAACATATTTAGAAAATATTTCGGGTATACAACAAACGACAATGGGAATGCTGACGTTGACTGGAGAATGTCGACATTCTGCAGTGGCGGTAACGTGAATACTATTACTCGACTTCAGACAGAGATATTTCATTTTGTGTATCTGAAGTTAAACTTTTAATTGATTTTCTTTTCTGCATGCTAACTTGATGGGAAGCTACCTCAACGTGCCAAGAAGGTGAAACATCTTGTGATCGTGAAATTCAATTATCTCACCACCCACCAGCGGCCGAGCGGTAAAGTCGTTGAACACTGGTAGTTAAGTCCGAGGTTCGAATCCCGCGAATGAGTTGGCTGCATGGGCGTTTTCGTGGTTTTCCCCATGTGTAACGTGTATACGAGCCAATTTCCCTTAGAAAATCATACACGAAGGCATCCCTCTTCTTAGGCAGATAGCCGTCGAGGTTTTGCCATAATCATACACACGATTGACTCATCATTTTATCATAGTTCAGCCAGCAGACAAATTCTTTACCCAACATACGTGCTTCTTGTGCAAATATGTAGACATATCGGTTGCTGAGCATACATTTTTGATAGTTTTGTTAATTTTTCCCCCTTTTAATGATCTTCGTAATGCAGTGTCCTTTTTAACAACAGAAGTGCATTGTTTCAAGCAGAGAACACACGAATATAAAAAGAATGTAAAAAAAAACATTTTATGAAAGTTTGCCAAATAATGGTAAATAATACTTGTAGCGAAGACACAGAGATAGAAAATCGTGAAATTAGGAAAATGAAAGTGGCTGAATTTCTGAAACTATTTTTGAAAAATCCAAATTACCAAGGAATATGAACTATGCTTCATGAACATTAACCAAATGATTTTACAACAGGCAAGGGAATAAATCTATTGCAAGAATAAATGGATATTGCTCTTACCCTGAGGTAGTCATATATGCATTCTGATGCTGCTTCAAGGTCAAGTTCAAGTATCGTCAATTCCACTCTACTTCCAGGAGGGTAAGAAATGTGCCAGAAGCAAGAGGTACTGATCGGATAACCATTAGGATAGTTGGGAGAGGTAATGAAACCAAAATCTTTATTATCAATATCTCCGCCACAACCTAAAAAAGCAAATTAAGCATCTTATTAAATATAAACACATCATTAACATGTTAACAATAAATATAGTAATAAAGATAAAATAATCTATTTTGTATTGTTTATACTGTAGCATTTTGGTCGTGTTACACTGGAGTTAATATTACATGGATTAATATTACATGAATAAATATCTAATATTACATGGATATCATATAATATTACATGGATAGATAGATTACAAGATTGAATTAGAAATTCGTGTTTGAAGTTAAAATTCCTATTTTAAGGAGGATATTCAAATAACAAAATATTAAACAAAAATACTAACTTGAAACCTCATTCTTCAAAAGCAATAGTGAAATAGATCATGGGTAACAGTTGCCATGCAAGAAATAAAATCATCGAAAAGAAATTGAGGAAAGAGGAATGTCAGCTTTATAAATAGAGAGCCATGAATAGTCATATGTATTATGCTTGTAGAAAACATGATATGCGCAATACATTTATTGCCATTCCTTATTAAAACGTGCAAGCATTTTTGTCATACGCCTTTCGCATCTTAATATAGACATATGACCGACAGCATTACCATACAGTGACTAAGCAAGATCTCAATTAGAGTCTAAGCACTCGGTTGGATTCCAGAATACTTTCGTTCGACTTCTATATTCTCTTCTTAGTAACGACGGGAAGAAACGGCTTAAATAGTGATAGAACATACGATTGAACTTCGTTAGATTTTTAATATTTTAGAGCTTTATTCAATTTCTTTTATAACACAGAGGGTATTTTTTAGCTAAAAATATATTTCTAAATAATTTCATTTTCATATTTTCTATTTGTATCAAAACGTTTCAAATTGTTTGCTTCAGTGGTTAACGGAGTCTACTACGTTGTCACTGCACTCTAGTTCGGATCCCGCAGAAGGCAAGGGTTTTTTTGTAAATGCACAGTATCTTTGTGGAATAGGAATAATATAATTCCATCGTTTTGAAAGTTTATTTCAGATTTTGGGGGAAAGAAAATAGTTATGGTGTCACTGGATATCGTTTTCTGCGCTATTCTCTATCAGAAGCAAAATGGAACTGAACAAAGTCATGTGGCCACACATTACATGCTGCCCATGGTCTTGGGCAAAGGAAAGCACTTTTACATCTAGCCCATGATCATTCATGAGGCCGTCCTAGTGACTCTACATGTTGTCATGGGGATGAGAACCAAGGAAAGAGGAAAGAAGGAGTAGATCAAAGAATAGGAAACAAACAACAAGGAATAGGAAACTAGGAAGTTCATGGGAATGAGAACATTTCGTGTTAGCTTTATTATCATTGAATGGTAAATGATTTGCCTATGATTAACTTTTAAAATTTTACCTTTCATTGCATATTCTAATCTGAATCCTTCTCTTGTCACGGAACTGTCTGTTATCAAACGCACAATGGCTGTGTCCGTTGAAGTCTCGATAGTCTTGGGAGGAGAGCTCTGACCTCCACAATATTTACCCAACTGAACTTGTTCATTGTTCTTTACTTCTAACACCTGCAAAATATTAAATGCTTAAAATTTTTCTTGTTACAGAAACATGTTAGATATATTTACATGATTTTCTTATCTAAAAATCATACTTACTATATATTCCCCCTTCCTTTTTCATGCTAAATACATCTCTTGAAAATAGGGAGGGGTAAATTATATGGTAAACAAAGTATAGTATATATACTTGTATATATACTATAAAAGTATTAAAAGACGAAATTTAAAAGTATCTAATAAATCTCAGAAGGATAAATGTATTAATATTACAGTGTTCTAACCTCTTATGAATTATTACATTTAACATACTTCTTTTTATTTGCAAATATTCTTTTTTTCTTCTCATATTTTTATGACTTTACCATTAAATTTTCTAAATCATTCATCTGTCTATTATTCTTTTGAATCGAACATCTCATTTTAATTTATTAGGTATATGATTTCGAATAATTAATATTTTATTTGAGTACGTTTGTTGCAATGCTTTCAGAATTTTTATTTGTATTTTCAATTTATTGCATTTATCTTTTTACTTTAAATGACATTTTTCACAAAAAGGAAGTAATGAATGAATGAATTTATACAATATATGAAACCGATACATAATTTCCTTCTAAAACTATTCACTGTCGTCTTTCGAACCTTTGCATTTTGTAAAACCTCATTAGTCTTATACTGCATTTCTGCAAGTCTAGGGGCACTGTTAACAAGAATAATTGGTAATGATAAATGTGTAATATAAATATACTAATAAGATTCCGTCAGAATATTCTCCAAGAAAGGCATATCCCTAACCCTTTGTTTACTTAATAAATCCAGTTGATGGTGTTCTGACTCGAAACTGGTATTATAATTCCTCTACGACATGGCTAGTAGGGTTGACAAAGATGTTTAAAGTCGTCAAACTTTTATCTTTTATTTGTTATGAACAAGACAAATGTTTTGCAAATAATTGTAAGATACATGTTTTGCAAATAGATACCTCATTAATATGATAGAAGAAAGGGATTTTGTTTTATGTTTGAAACAATGTAGGAAATTATGAAGAATGTAGCGTTCAAATCCTCAGCGTTAAAATGTCCAGGCATAGAATTAATCAAACTGGAATCACCAGCAGCTTTTTCCACGACGCTTTGATAGGTAGCACAATACCCACAATACATTAACACAGCTAAAATGTAAGCAAAGATAAAATTAGGAACCCAGGGTGGCTCGAAATATACTCCTAGTTCTCTGCATTATTATGTCCAGAAACAAAATTTAATAAAAGCAACAGAAACTGTGAAAAACCAATTGTACCGAGACTCCTCAAAGGAACATAACTGTGAAAGATTAAATTGTGGCAGGTTTCTTTTAACTTGCCACTAGGTAACTAATAACTGGCCATTAGCTTTGTAGATGGTAGAACTTATTCACAGTCCTATAAAATGCCTTTTATGTGTTGCGAGTCCACTGGCAGTAAAATATGTTTGAGTTATTAGGAGTTGGAAATACTTTTTATTAGTTGTAACGTTGCGCGCTTCCAACCTGCGCGCAACAATAGTGGTGACTGCTGAGAACTGGAAAAGGAGACCAAAGTCTTGAGAAGGGTTAAAATCCCTTTTTATTCAACTTTAGAAATTACAAATGCGTGCTCTTGACGCTCACAAACTACGCCGACCCGGCGGTAAAATAAAAATAAGAAACTAAGAAAGGAATAGTAACAAGTGACTAACTACGAGGATCTCTAAACGTAACTAACCTCACCGCGTTCTAAAATACCGCTGATACTTTAGCAAACTTCTGAATATTACGTTGAAAGATTTTCAAACTGCCGAGGCAAGCACACAGGCCGAAACGCGTGGTTCTTCAATTTCTAACTAGCCACCTCCACGTTCGTGAAGTAAGAAAGCACCCTTTCGAACTCGTTTCCCTTCTATTTAACTCAGAATACTTCCGCTGATAATTTGAATCCTTGCGCGTTCTACTAAAATTTACATACTCTGGCATTGGCAATTCCAGGGGAAAGTAAGGCTTGACAGGAAAGATAGTTTAAACTTAAAATAAGTGTTAGTTAAAATAAATATAAACCCTACATAGTTAACAGGATTCTGAACAAGAGTTATGTATAACGTTAAGCTCCAGTTGAATAAAGTTAATACTTGTTGTCGTCTAAATAAATTTTGAGGTCAATGAGTGTATAATTTCTCCAAAGATAAGCTTTTTATTCGCTCCTTTTTTTTCAATAGTTTACGATGTTCATTATTTATCAGTTTGCAACTTAGGTGCTGTTTTTCAATATTCGTCTTTTCTTAGTAAAGTGGATATATTAAAAAACACTGAATTTAATACGAGACGATCTGTAAGTATAATAAAAACTTACAGAAAAAATCTGATGCGGACACCACGTGGCTTCTTGTACGGCCTATTAAACTATAACATTTATATCTGCAATCAATTTAAATTCATTTCCTCGAATTATTTCAACTTAATTAACCAAGTTGAAAATGACATCAAAAATTGCAAATTTTGAAATTAAATATCTTAGTAAATATTTGTAGTACCAAGGTTCTTACATTTTTATTTAAGTAGTATAAAATATTCGTAAATGTGTTGCCTGTAATATAAAAGCTGTTACAGATTACACAACAAACAAAAACAAAAACAGCTCAATAAGATAACACGCGACGAATATCCCAGATTATAAAATAGCTCACGGAACAATATCTAATGAAAATGCGCTTAATAGCATTTAAGTCGCAAAGACTGTGAGCTGAACTGTTTAAACGCCAGTGCAACCCCTGGTTTGTATCATTACATAAAGGAAAAGAAGGAATTAAACAGAGGAAATTTCTGGAAAATTTCTCTTAGGTCTTCAAAATTACATCTTCCAGATACTGTCAGATTAGCGCCAAGTTAACAAAGGAAGGTGAAGGACTAAGATCTTCACCTTCCTTTGTCTCCATCTGGTGAAGATGATGGAGACAGATGGAGACAAAGACAGTGAAGTCTTTGTCTCCATCTGGGTTTCTTCTTGGGCTATTTTTTTCAACACTAAAGTCAATAAATTGAAAATTAAAAGCTATTCAAAATAGTGTTTAAATTAAATATTTTTAACATGCCGCAAATAATATTGAAATAAAATACGCAATAAATGAACACAAAACTACCAAACAAAATACACAAAATAAATAAGTATCAACTCGCAAAATGCAAGAATGTATGCCAACAAAATTCAACCAACCGATCACAAATAGTTAAATAATTTATATTTACCATTATATTTACAGCAGTGAGAAAAATAATGGTAAAAATTAAATCTTATCAAAAAAGGATATAAATTCGAAAAAAAAAAATTAACTGAATTATCAAATGGAAAGCATAGTAGCTAAATAAAAGGGAAAAATAGAAAGAAGAATAAGCAGACTGTGTTTTAAAGCATGATTAGAAGAATTAAATGAAAAGTACTCACCTCAACATAATCGGCGTCACAAGAGGCAGTTGTTTCAAGGAAGAAATGCGAGAAAGCTATGGATATATTATTTCCTCTTGGAGCACTAATGGTCCAACTGCAGTTGTGGTTATGTGGATAGGTATCAGGGAAATTTGGGCTTTCGATGACACCTCTTCTTTTAGTTAACACATTATTACATACTGTGAAAGAGAAGAAGGAATATTCTCATTTTTAAAAAACATTACAGCCTATTGATACAGCTTCAAATAATACAATTATAAATAAACATCCAATAAGTTGCGCTGCAGGCCATACCAAACCAAAACCCATAAAGAATACAGAAAATGAAATCTGTATTTACTGGAGAAACAATGCAACATACAAGGATTAACTTATTGAAATAAAAGCACAGTTAGATCTGTAGAATACAATGAAATTGGTATTTTAGGTAGCCACTAGAGGTAGCAATAACTTCTGTGACACGGCGTTGAAAGAAAGAGGCTTTGGGTCGGTGCTTGGAAGTTTATCAACTCCAACTTGTTTCTACACTCTTCCTAAGTTCATGTGGCGTAGCCGCCAAGTGTCGTATCCTGGCCCACTTTTTTACCTGTCATCAAACAGACATTTGCGATTGGCAACATATTGTGAGAATGTGAGGGCCTAAGCAGCAATGTGGTCTGCTGGCCAATTAAAACTATTGAACATTAAGTGCCCCATTACGGCCGCGAATTTTTCTGTTGATACTTGCAACAAGCGTTTGTAGGAGAGCAACAGGATTTAAAGCTTCAGAGATGCAGCGGTGACTGATGGGTGTCACTTTAAAGTGAGACGACATAGGGGTGCTGATGTAAAAATACACTGACACTCCTAACCGTAAGTCCAGTTGATAGACCTACGTGATGGTGCAAAATACAAAGGCCATGACTTCAATGGTAGTGTTTCTGCCAGACTCGGATTTGATGGCTCATATTATAAATTAGTCATTATTCCAGTTAGAAATTTAACTAGAAATTTTAAAAAAATTAAAATTAATTAAAAAAAAATCATTAAAAATTAATTTAAAAAATTAAAAGAATGTCTATAGAATTTCTTATTATTAGAACATAAAATTGCGAAGATATAAACTTATAAGTTTGGTAAACTAAAATTGCGAAGATATAAACCTATAAGTTTGGTAAACTAAAATTGCGAAGATATAAACTTACAAGTTTGGTAAACTAAAATTACGAAGATATAAACTTACAAGTTTGGTAAACTAAAATTACGAAGATATAAACTTACAAGTTTGGTAAACTAAAATTACGAAGATATAAACTTACAAGTTTGGTAAACTAAAATTACGAAGATATAAACTTACAAGTTTGGTAAACTAAGTGGAAACCTCCAGCCTCTTGGCTGCTGTCTGACCGGAAGCGCAGAAGCATAGTATTTCCAGTCGATACAATGGCTCCCGGATTCTGCTGATTATTACATATGTTCAACAAGCATTTGGAATTTTCCGAATCACCATCTAATATCTGCAGGAAAATTATCAAACTACGTTAAAATGCTTATCTTAGTATTAATAAAACATTTCAAAATGCACTTAAACAACATTTTATTTACAGCATCCTATAAGGTATTTCTCCCGCCTTCTTAGCATGCCTTCGTGGTGTAATAGTCAGCACGTTCGGCGCGTATTCAAGAGGTTCGAGTCCCGGCGATGGCATTGCTCATTTTTTATCTCTCCTGCTTCGAAATAACCTAATGTCTCTACACTCCTTCAACTACATAAATGGTTTACTCATTAAAGACATTTGACTGTCCTTTTAGAATGTATTATACCGAATTTGCAATGTCACGGATATATATTGATGAAATGTGAGTATTCAATGCAGTAGAGTTTTAACCCGCGGGAAAGCGCGTGATGTGTATCATACCCCAACCCTACATAAAAGTGGAATATTCCTAACTTGTGAAACTGATATTCTGTGCTGCTTTCATTAGCTGAGTTTCTAGTTGTGGTTGACTTTCAGAACCGCTTTTTCTTTGCCTGTGTGTTTTAGAAAAAGATATATCGGTACTTTTGTTGGACAACTGAGGTATGACACACCCCACGCGCCTGTGCGTGTAAGTGTTTTTCTGACTGAATATTTAGTTCAAGAAATTTATAGTTCTATGAGTGTAACAGTAAATATTTCTACTCGCAAGGTGACTTTAAAGTACTTGACATTAAATTCTTAAAGAATTTCTAACCGCATTATGGTAAAAAGAATGAGTTCCCCATAAACTGGAGATGCAACGCATGTGAGATTTATTAGAAATATTTAAAAGCGATGAAGAGTGCGTTTCGGAAACTGAAGATGAAACTAAGAATATTTTCTACAATGTTTTGGGTTTGAAAAAGGTAAAACATTAATTCCTGATGTTCCTAAAAAAGGAAAAACTGTTCTTATGCTTTCAACATTATATAACGATCATACTATAGATGATACTATTGGAGAAAATAAAACGTCAGAAATTATATGTTTTAATAATATGACTAAAGAAGCAATGGATATGGGGGATGAAATGTCAGCCAATTATTTAATTGCCGGAATAACAAGGAGGTGGCCAATGGTAATTTTCTTTCCTGCACTGAATGTTGCTGTAATAAATGCTTGAATTATATTACATTCAACTGCCAATCCATCAACCAGAAACAGAAGTCTGTTTTTGAAAGACTTAGCATTACAGTTAATGAAAACAAGTATTGAACATAGATCAGAGATTAAAACTTTTCCATGAAATTGACGTACTGCATGCAAAACAAAAGCAGAAGTTTCGACGAAGAATTAAAACGAATACATGAAATTCGAAACAACTAAGTATGAAAGCTGTGATAAAATTTTTGCCCTCGCGCCAAGGACAGAAGAACGTGAATGCAATGTTTAAAATGTGAAAATATTCTGTGCCAAGAACACATGAATGTATTTCGTTCAAAGCGTGAAGAAATAAAATAAGCATGGCGTATTAGAGATGTAATGAAACTTAGAGGCATGATGTTTATTTTTTTATTATTTTCATTTATCTTAATTTTAACTCTAAGATTATTTCGAAAATTAATTTTTTGAAACCCAATTATTATTCACTTATTTATATAACACCAGAATGAAAAAAAAAGTTTTAAAACTAAATTTTTAAACTTTATTGTATATTATTTTTTTATTGTATTCTAAATATTGGGGTATGTGATACCCCACGCGCCCACTCTAGTAACTTTTCTTGGTGCGACTTCCGCCGGGTTAATTACATTTGTAATTAATAGTAAAATATGTAAAAATAATCGCACTATAATTACTGAGTTTTTTGACATTTATAACTATACCTCATAACGTAGAGTGCAAAGTATACAACGCCCAACACAGTAATTTCTTACGTATATTTTCCGTTTTTTCCCTGAATCAACTTTTTGAAAATCGTATAAGGTATCTCTCCCGGCTTCTTGTCATGCCTTCGTGGTGTGGTAATCTGCACGCTGGGCCGGTATTGCAGAGGCACGTGGTTCGATTCCCGGCGAAGGCGGTTGCTAACTTTTCCAAAAAATCTAATGTTTGTACCGTGGCACCGGAGCTAAAAGCGTGTTGGAAGATTCTCCTCACCCAGGTTGGGTCCCAATAAGGATACAAATGAATGTAATAATATATAATGTAATGATGGTTAATGTATGTGTAATGTCTATATAATGTATGTACAATGTACGTAAAATGTATAATGTATGCCATTGGTACGCAGCAATAGTTTGTCAACAATATGTAATAATGCCACTATCAATACTGCCTTAGACTTTCCCAACTTACAAATGCAGTGATGACCCTTGTTAGGCCATGTCATTTTCTATATATATAACAACAAATACAGAGGCACGGACAAGCGGATGGGGGAATATCCCCGGAGGGCGCTTTTGGTCAGTGGGACCGTCCTCGGAATACACCGGGCGCTAGGTTTCGGCGCCCCGTGCGAGACCCTCGTGTGGCCCTCAAGTTCGGCTATAGATACTGGTGGACGTGGCGATACATCAATTAACCATATGGTAAAGGGGTGGTGCCCACGTCCTCCGTCGCATGTCACATGTCTCCTCATCCAGGATTTGGCGATTGGGTTCTCTAAAAACCCCTTTAAAAAGGGAAGTGTATAAGGTATTTATCCCGCCTTCCGAGCGTGCCTTCATGGTGTGGTGGTCAGCACACTCAGCCGGTATTTCAGAGGTCCGTGGTTCAATTCTCGGCAAAGGCGATTGCTCATTTTTCATCTCTCCGGCCTCGAAAATATCCTAATGTCTCTACAATGGAAAAAGAAAATTACACGGAGCATATCTATTCCTAACCGGAAAAGTTAAATAAATTGCAGAGTGCATTAAAAACCGCATCTAAATAAACGTGAATCGTCATTCATATAAGAGGTCTTCGACCCCTGAAGGCCTTTACATTTTACAATACTCCTTGGGCTTAAAAGTTGAAAAGGTTTAATTCCAGACAGAGTGAAAACTTTTATGCACTTTTGAGCAGAGTAAACATATTGTTCGAACCTGGGATCTTCGGTATTGCAACAGGCTTCCTTAACCATTATACCATGTGTACGGCAATAAAGCCACATATCAAGTACCATATATTCTGACATATAAGTACCATATATTCCGACAGTTAATGAAATAAGAATTACTTCAGTACTTCTGTTCAGAAAAAAATTACTTCAGTGTCCCCTTTACCTGTAAGTAGTCGTACATGCACTTGTCGTGCTCTTCGATGTCGATTTCTATAATGGTCACAGAAATCACAGAACCATGGGATATTCGAATAAGCCATTCGCAGTCGGCGTTGAAAGGATATGCTTGTGGATAATTGGGAGACACTATCGAACCACGAGGAGATGAAAGTATTCCACCGCAACCTATTAAAAGAATGAAAAATTATGACATAAGAATATGGGTATACTGTTAGCAGCGCAAAGATGATGAATTAATCCTTTGCGGCACAGTGTGTCCGGTCTGGACACCTAAAAATTTCCTTCTGTACGCACAGAAAAATTGAATGAAAAAGGATTTATAGGTTACTCTGAACCTTTTTTATTTATAGTAGATGGCAGCTCAACACAATCCAGTCCATATATTTTAGCCATGTTTAGTTTTTTAAAACCCTCATTTTTCAAGGAAATTTTCCAGATTTCTTTTAAGGAATAAAAGGAATTGTTTGAAAAGAAATTTCTATGTTAGTTTTTTGGCTGTATGCTAATCTCCTTATTCTATGTTAGTTTTACATTTTTACCTTGAAATCTTGCTTAAAATCAAACGGCGATGTGCCCAGACCGGGCTCGCCAATAATCTAGGACAACTGAGAGTCTATATTCTTTGTTTCTCCGCATCTGATCGGTCAGTTCATTGACAACAACACTCGTTTCAGCACTCTTTCCGAAGCTCTATTCAACCAGTGTGCCCAGTTTGGCTACATCCACAGAATTAAACTATAAGTGCTATCTTCACAAAATCTTACTTGTGTACTCCTCTAGGCCTAATTAGACTGCCTACTTTTTCTTTCATTTTTTATCAAAACTCCAACTTTAAAAGGTAGCGTGCCGGAAAGGATTAATGAAAAATGAAAGAGTTTAGCAGTTTCTTACGAGACACAAAAGGGAAAGAACTTCTACCACTAAGCTTGTAGAAACAGAGCTTTAGAAATTCAAGTGTTCAAAAAAGATGTTAACGATTTCAGTCTACTTAAAATTGCTTCTAGAATAATATCTGAGAAAGGAAATAAACTACACTGTCTGTAATGCCACGTTTATGGAATTTCAGATTCTGAGACAAGTGTTAAAGTTACCCTTTTGCCTCAGAGTTCTATCTTTCCAACTGCCTATCTTCTATCTATCTGCTATCTCAAAGTTAACTTTTACTATTGAAATATTTAGATTTATGGCAATGAATAATTGTGCAGTGAACCTAAAATATAATATAGGTAAAAGGAAATTATAGTTCAAAATTCATAGAAGTGAGTTGATGAATTTTTAGGAAAATTACTTTTCTAAAAAATGTCGTGTATGCGTAGCTTAAACCTGCAAATAATGAAAATTCCCAGATTTTTGACATCAAAAGGGCATTCAAGCATTATACGTCAGAGTTTTCTGTCTGTATTTTTATATGTATCATGTGAATTTATCCTCACACTTTCGGAATGCTAGATATTGAAAGTTTCCAAACTTTTTTTAAGAGGGTATCGGAACAAGTCATGCAACTTTTATTTTATATGATTCTTCGATTATCTTATGTCGATCTTCGATTATCTTACTTCTATCTAGCATAATGTTGTATACTCGTTATGAAAAATAAAATTTAAGACGTATGGTTCCCGTGCGACACGGATTGACCGGGAAATTTGATATTAAATCTGCAAATCATACTGAAAGGCTGTACGCAAAGTGAAGAGGGAAATTCAAAGTTCTATCCTTCTTCTTTAATTAATAGCTCAAAACGTTGAAAGCATGTTATATCCGGCATTCTGTCTCCGATTTAAGCACTAAGGTTATAAGTCATTTCTCCCGCCTTCCTAGCGTGCCTTCGTGATGTGGTGGTGTGCGCGCTGGGCCGGTATCCCAAAGGTCCGTAGTTCGATTCCCAACGAAGGCGTTTGCTAATTTTTTCAATCGTTCTTGCTTCTAAAATACCTAATGTCTCTACAGTGGCGCCCGAACTAAAAAAGGGTGTTGGATGATGATTCTCGTCACCCAGGATTTGGCGATTGTCTCCCCTAAAAACCCAGTCGCCCTTTAAAAGGGAGAGTATATAAGGTATTTCTCCCACCTTCTTGGCGTGCCTTCGTGGTGTGGTGGTCTGCACGCTGGGCCGGTATTCGATTCCGTGGTTCGATTCCGAGGTCCGTGGTTCGATTCCCGGCGAAGGCGATTGCTTCTCAAAAAATCCTTTCTGCTTCTCAAAAAATCCTAATGTCTCTACAGTGGCGCCCGAACTAAAAGGGTGGTGGATAAGGATTTCTCGCCACCCAGGATTGGGTCCTCTAAAAACATCAGTCGCCCTTTAAAAGGGAGAGTATATAAAGCATTTTCTCCCGCTTTCTAGCGTGCCTTCGTGGTATGGTGGTCTGCAGGCTGGGCCGGTATTCCAGAGGTCCGTGGTTCGATTTCCGGCGAAGGTGTTTGCTAATTTTTCATCTTTCCTGCTTCCAAAATACCTAATGTCTTTACAAGGTGAGAAAGCGAATATGACTATTAAGGCTTCTCATACGGATTTCAGTATTTTTCATTCAGTATTAATACTGCTTCTCATACATTCTTGTACCCGAATATTTCTCTTGAAGTATTATTATGGGATGAGAATTTAATTTCGAAATCAATGGTGAACATGCTGCAGAATTTCTGAATTCACATAAATTCGATTTCATACTCCAATCTTGAATTTCATAGTTAAAGAAGTCTTAAAAATATTCAGGGATCTGAATTCTTAAAAATATTCAGGGATTCAGTGATCTGATCCACAAAACTGTGAGGTTTTCAAAATTACAAAAGAATTAGATCTCAATTAATAGAGACAGAAATTTCTGGAAATCAAATATGACAATATATTCGTTGTAGAAAGAATAAAAAGTATTTTATCGCACTAAGAGAAGTTTCTAATATAAACAATTTGGACTGCCAAAGTTAATAAAGCTTTGGCAGTCCAAATTTGACTGCAAAGTTTCTTCTGGTTTCCCAACCATTACCCTCAACTCAGTAAGACTATCAAATTTTATTTACTAATGCTACAAATCGTACACATTTTTTTTAACATTAGTAATGTACATATCCCGCAAAAAGTTGTTATAAATTGTAACTTCATAAAAATGTCACCTTTTAATTTTTAGTCTTAAAGTAGTCATTTAACTCAGCAATGAAGCTAACCATTTATTTCTGTGCTAGTAGTGCATCTACGAGAAAATTATCTTGGTTTCCGTCATTAGTTTGGAAATAAATAACAATGGTTCGCTATGGGGCTTTCTGCATTAAAATAATTTATTTGAATATGTCAGTACCTGCAAAATTATTTTGCATTGACGCTAATATTGAAGTAAACATTTTACATGCAATAATCAAGTTTTATTTGATATTACTCTATTAATGCGTACTTGCAAAAAAATTAGGGTGCTGTTGAATAAAGTACGGATAAATGTACAAAAGAAAAAGATGAAAATATTAATTAAACTTTTTTTATAATTTTAAACGTATGTTTTATGAGTTTATTTCAAATACAAAAAATATAGTAATGAGTAATTTCTACTTATATAAATAATATGCTACGTAAATATACGCATTTACTTTAACCTCAAATTCGTAAAAAAGTTACTTTTAATATACTGCAAAATTAGAGTATTATTTTTAAAATTAAAAGACGATTAAATTTCCGAAGCCTTATAAGATTTTATTCATTAAGATTTCCATTTATGATAATTATCCTCATGCCGGTTATTTCGTTTGGAAGAGTCCGCATCTGAAAGTTAATAATCTGACTTTGAATTCCCGATCTTCCAAAGTTCTATGAAAGATTTAGTCCTCAGAAATTTCCAGTTACTATTTCCGTTATTAATTGAAAAGTGTTGAATAACTTCAGACTTGCTTAGAAATTTCAAATATATTCCGATACTTACCAACAGAAGTTGTGTCAAAGAAAATTTCAAATCCTGGAGCAGACATTGACATATCCGACTTAAATTCCAACCGTAGAGTATTGCTATGCGATCTAATCTCCGGGATAGTCCTGTTGCCACAATATTTTCCTAATAAAGGTGAAGTTTCGGTTCCTCCGTTCCTGGGATATAAACATTTTTTATTCAGTACAAAATAAAAGACATATTAGAGAAATTGAGCTTTTACCATTGAAATATTAAGATTTATGGGAACGAGTAATTGTGCAGTGAACTTAAAATATAATATAGGTAAAAGAGAATTATAGTTCAAAATTCATAGAAGTGAATTGATGAATTTTTATAAAAATTACTTTTTCTTAAATATGCCACATATGCGCAGCTTGAACCTGCAGATTACGAAAATTCCTAGATTTTTGACATCAAAAGGCCATTCCAACATCGTACGTCAGAGTTCTCTGTTGCCAGTATATTTTTATATGTATCATATGAATTCATCCTGACACTTTCGAGCAGCTACATATAGAAAGTTTCCAAACTATTTTAACAGGGTATCGGAACAAGTCATGCAACTTTTATTTCATATGATCCTTCGATTATCTTATATTGATCTTCGATTATCTTATCTTACTTATACCTAGCACAATGTTGTGCGCACTCGTTATGAAAAATAAAAGTTAAGACGTGGGATTCCTCTGCGATACGAATTGACCGCGAAATTTGATATTAAATCCGAAAATCATATTCAAGGGCCGTATGAAAAGTGAAGAGCGAAATGTTTTATAAAATTAAACATTAGTTTGGAAAAAAATTTTTATATTAATTAATGTGAAGGTTATGTGAAAAATATTGTTACTTGCGTACGGCATCTTAATGAATTGAATGCACACTGAATAAAGCTTGATGAAATATTTTCCGAAAACACTTCTCTAGAACTTTCCACACAAAAGTACTTGTAATAGGGGGACCGGAAAGTAATGTCGTTTCTGCGCATGTCGACAACAACATGCTAAGGGCAGAAGTGGAAGCAAATCCATGTCAAACACTCTTAACCAACCCTGGTCGACCATCTAAGAACATTTAAAGCAGAATGGAAAATAAGCAAAGCAGGTGTTTGAGTCCCCATAATCTGTCCGAAGAGAAAAAAAGCCAATTGATCCATCACATGCAACGTATTGCTTTAACGGCACCATACAGAACCGTTTTTTGATCATTTGATTACTGGAGACGAAAAATGGGTCCTATATGATAATCCAAAACGCAAAAGGCAGTTTTGATAGGGCTTACAAAGGGTTTACATCCCAAAAAGGCGCTTCTGTGTGTTTGGTGGAGTATTCGCGGAATTGTTCATTTTGAATTGCTGAAACCTGGACAAACTGTTAATGCAGATCTTTATTGTGAACAATTGGATCGAGTGAACCAATCTTTAATCGAAAAATATTCGGCGATTGTCAATAGAAAAGGCATCATTCTGCAACACGACAACGCAAGACCGCACTGTGCACGACGGACACTGGAAAAAATGAATGAATTGGGATGGGAGGTGCTGCATCACCCACCATACTCGCCCAATATCGAACACTCGGATTCACATTTATTCCGACCCCTACAACATTTTCTTAGTGCCAAAACATTTGAAAATTTGAATGATGTCTAAAATGCCATCTTGAGATTTTTTACTCAAAAACCAATTGATTTATATCGGTACGGGATTGAAAATCTGCACACTAGATCGCAAAAGGCTGTTGATAACGAGGGTGATTACATTAATGATTAAAAATAAAAACGTGTTAAAAATTTATTCGCGTGAATTTAATGTAAAAAAGCGGCATTACTTTCCGGTCCCCCTATTACAGTTCTTCGCAATATCACTAAGCACAATCAGGAGTTACCACTTCAAGTTATTAAGGACAATGACCACATAGCGACGCAAACGGCCTTCAAAAGCGAAAGTTCGCACGGTGGTCTCTCAGTACTCTGGTCTTCAGAGCTAAATTGAAAACTGATGCTGTTTCCGGCTTTGTATAATAGATTTTCCTCAGAAATTTCGAGTAGTTTCGATTTCCCGGAGATTGCTGGATGGCATACGCAGTTATAGTTACATAAGGCCGGATAGAGTTGCAGTTACACTGAGCCGAATACAGTTCCAGATACACAGGAATCGAGCCAAAATGTTGCCAAATGTTCGTCAAACTTGACGTCTTTTGGCGATTTCTCGAGAAATTTGGCGATTTAAAACTTGTAACCAAAACCATCGTCAGCTTGGCGCTATCTCGCTAAATGAACTCGGCACTGCATCCCTATTTCTTCGGCGATGCTTCACATTCTGAGGCCTTTCATACTAAATTATGCAAGACATACTACAATTTTAATATACAGTTTCACTCTACAAAATTCGTAACAATGCTGTTCAATGTAATGTTTTCTATGGAGATCATTAAAGCTGAAAAATTTAATGAAGTTTCCGTACGACTGCCAGGTAAAGTAATAAAATTTGGAAAGAATATTAATAATAGATTTTTAGACTTAAATTGTCTTCTAATTTATAATTTATTTATGATTTATAAATTATTTATTATTTGTATGAAAATTCTTTCCGCATATCAAATGCAATAAAATTATGAATTAAGACCTTATTAAATCACAAAACAAAAATTCACAACTAAATGGCATTTAAGCATTATTGATTAACCATAGTCGTGTTCCGGTAGAGAGTAATCATGGGTAATCATCATGTTCAGTAATCATCAGTTGGCAGCTGTATTTGACTAGCACACTGCCTAAAACTGACATTTTTATTTTTCAAGTTATAGGAGGCTTGTCTTATCTGTTAGGTGGCCGCAGACCACAAGTTGTGGGTTCCTGGGTCGAAGCCCTGGAAATGATATAAAGTCTGAACATAAATTAAACACATGATGTAAAAATCATCCAAGGAGTTGCATTTCAGTTGGCGATCAGGGCTGTGGAAGTTGTCCGTGGAGTAGCAGATTGAACAGTAGGATGATTTTACAGTTTAAACACCATTTTCACGCAGCTTTCTCATGAAATGCACCATGGTTGTTTCAAATCTTAACTGTCGCGGAGGAAGGAAATTTTAATTTGACCAGATAAAGGAATGAAACTGGTTTCTCTGGGAAAAACGTAATGTGTATAATACAAGAAATACACTGGGTAAATGACATTATTTTCTTAGCCTTTTAAAAACTGGTTAATAACAGTAAAACATAAATGCTGCATTTGAATGTATTTGAATTTAGCGATGTGTAAGCTATAAGAAATTGACAAAGAAGGTATAGAAAAAGGAAAAACTTAAATATTGCATATTAGTCTGATTGAGATGTGTGATTTGTTTAACGTTTTGTACGTTTCTGTTACTATAGTTCAGCTTTAAATGAAAATTTTAATTTGAGAACCAGGAACAAATTTACGATTACTCAAAGCAAAACCCATATAACCTTGCTATCTTCAAATCTCTGTGTATTGCCAAAAATGACTTATATTGAAAAGTTTCCCAACAAAATCAAAAGAAATTTCTACAAAAAAAAAACTACTTGTAACCATCTCGCGAACTGTAACTGTTTTTAATACGAAATTCTACATCAGGACAAAGAATTACGTTTGTTATGCTTCACATCTCTCAGATTTAAATTTTCCAACGTAAACTTTATACATACACTTCTGTATTTGTATATGTTGAATATCGCTATTTTTCTGTATCTATTTGAATATTTTGTTTGTATTTCGTGTATCCATTTTTATCTCTACTATGACTTCATTCTCATATACCCATCCATTAGGACTTCAGTTTGGTCTCTGAAACCTAGGAGAAAATTTTCTCTCTCTTCCACGCTTGTTAAAATTTCTCTTCTTAAAATCTCACTTGAAGTATTCTTATGTAAAGTGCCTTTAGGACAACATTTTTACTGAACTGAACACATTGCAAAATTCTCAATATGGCGGCATAACGTTACTGATACTCTGCGCGTGACTCTAATAATGCACAAAACTGAGGAATTTTTACTCATCTTATCAGAAGTCGTGTGCTAAATTAAAATCGACATATGTCCTAACAACTATACTAGTTGATTTTTTAAATAAATTTCCCAAACCAAAATTTTAGTTCACTTACTGTTATCTACATTTTTTGTCCGGTTACTTTTGCTCATACTCACCGTATCTCCAAATAATCGAATCGGCAATTGTCGTGATCTTCCATTTCAAATCGGGTGACATTAAGAGTAATCTGTCGGTGGTCCTTTGCTTGAATTATCCACACGCAATGAGCTGAATGCGGGTAGCGATTTGGAAACCCAGGGGACCGGATTACACCAGATTCTTGATAATAAGTTCCACCGCAGGCTACAAGAGTATTAAATATTGGAGTTATTAAGTGTGACTGAATTTCTACTAAATAATTAAATATTTAAGATATTAAATGCAACAAAAGTTTAAAATATAAAAGAAAACTGAGGCAAATATATCCGAAAAACTATATGATAATTTTAGAATGAAATTATTATTAAGTTTTACGTACATTGTATTATTTTACATCTATATTCGGATATTAATTAAAATATACGAATATATAATAGGCGAATAAAGCAAAACACTGAATGGCTATGTAACTTAAGAAAGTCATGCTGTCGAGGAGAACTGATTCGTAATAACATTACTCAAAACTCTCATACAGGCAGCTGGTTCGAACTATTGCTGTTGAGGGGTTTCTTCATTTGGCCACGATAATACGGTTTAATAATGATCTATAACTTGTTTAAAACGAAAATTAATTTTAATGTATTCATTACATTTAAAAAAATAATTTTCGAGAAATTAATTAATATTACGTTGCATAATCGATTATTTAAAATTAATAAATTTTGAGAATGTTTAAGCAAATATACATAACTTTTTTTCTTCTACTGCAGCAACTATAACAAGGGAACACTAGCATATTTCAATTCCTTCATTACGAGACGATCTCAGACATTTTACCGAAAATTAGAAAAAAAAGGCATAAAGATATCTAAGTTATCAAATGGAAAATGATTGTCTGAAAACTCGAAGCAAAAATCTATAGAAGGCAATGCACTAACGTTTTCCAGATATACTACTATATACAAGGCGTTTCAGCAAATCGGTTACAAACTTTCAGGAGAGGTAGAGTACACCTAAACGACGGAAAATCACTCAGCATTGCATGGTCAAAAAGGCGTTCCTGGCGCCGTAGTCACAACACAAAACACAAGAAAGGACTAACATGAACAGGGTAAGGAAACATGCTTATTATGCTTAGTACAAGAGAAATAAAGAACTAAAAGCAAAAATAGACAAGGATTGTCACAAAGAAGGTGTTCGAAATTATGAACCCGGAGCCTGATGCATGCCTCATATTTCCAGCACATGGAAGATATGATATTCTGGAAAATACTGGGCATGTCCTGGACTTCCATAGCAGCTGTCAAGATGTGTGCAACAAGTTCGTCAGAACATTTAACGGGGGTTTCGTACAACAATGTCTTGACGCACCCCAGAGGAAGTAATCATTTATGTGAGGTCTGGGGATATTGCTGGCCAATGCCTCGGACCAACCTAATGGTCCCATGTTAAGGATACGTTTCGAACACCTTCTTTTATGACGGCCTGTTTTTATTCTTATGTTTTGGATTCTGCATAATAAACATACATTCTCACCTTGTTCGTATCCTTTCTTTCTTATGCTTTCTATCAAATAGACAAATATAGTTGGCTATTTGACACAAAGCACAAGAATAGAAGGATATATAATTTAATAGACAAATATATATATAGGCTATTAATTCTATATCCTTACTAGGATATAGAATTAAATATATATTTAATTCTATATCCTAGAAATCTATATCCTAGTATTTCTATATCTTACCAGGAATATTCTGTATTCCTAGTAATTAATAGACAAATATATATATATATATATTCTATTAATTACTAGATTTACTTCATTTTATAAGATTGTTCAAAATATTCTGACGATTTTGGAGAAGCTTAGTGAAAAATTTCCTTATTGGAAAGTTCTCGAAAGACGTATTTGAATTCATTCTCTGAATTCCATTCCTTCTTTTAATTCGTAAGATAAAGAGAATGCATGACGCAGCATAAAGATGGATTTAGAGTTACTTTAAGCATCAAACCTGATATACTTTTGAGTAGACTATTGTTCGCAAATGTATTCTCTGCGGCTTCAAATTATTACAGGCGTAAACATCGCTGCAAAAACATCACGAAGGAAAACCTCATGGAAAAACAGCAGACGGCAAAAACATCTTCATACGGAACATCGCAGGAGACACAAAAGCAAGGAGAAAATATCTAACTTCTAAAACGCAATGGTATAAAACATTGTTTTCGATAATAAAGCGGTTAAAAAATATCATGGTTTAAAATCATCGTCGCAGAAAATGGCTTCGTAAAAAATAAAGCACCTACAAATCTTGCATGAAGATAACTTTCTAAACATGCGATTTTCTGCCTTTAAGAAATTTAAATGTGTATTTGCCTAGTGATCTATGAACGCAAGAAGAAATGAGGAGTTTTTTACCTCTATATTTTATGTTTTTGATTCATTACTAATATTTGCTTAAACAAGAAAGAAGGAAATTTAACCAACCAAAAACTTAAAACTAATTAAGAGAACAAATTTAACTAAACTGAACTACGCAATTCAACGTTTTTATATAGATAACATTATGCGTTACTCATCTTCTCTTTTGTAATCTTTTTCGAACTATGCTTTTCATAAAAAAAAATACAACTGCAAAAGGGACTAATTAAATAATGACCTTTCATGGTTATCTGGTTAAGTTTGAAATTATATTCTATTGTTGTTATTGTCGTGTTCATATTACATGGAACAATGGTTGCCAGAGCGTACTCCGAAGAGAGGTTGGACTTCTATTTTCCACCCCCAAGTTTTGAGGGAGAGTACTCCGGAGTATATCCATCATTATTATATAGGGTATCCGGAGGTCTTCCATTCTTCTCCCCTTCCACCAAACCTCACGACAGGGCTTTCGGTTCGCCGCATATTTGGAGTACCGCCATGCCGCACCGACACTATACATTTACAAACATCCATGTGTTTTCCTGGATCCGAACCCGGGGCCTTCGGTACCATAGTAGGTATATGTATGTAATTGTGTATATATCTGCATATGAGTTGGTATTTATATGTATATACATATATTTTGATTGTACTCTTATTCACGTTCCTTGTATGCACATGCATATATTTCTTTATACATTACATTACTGTACTTTTCTTCAAGTGCCTTGTATGCACATGTATATCTTTTTATTACATTTTATAAATGTAGTCTGCTGAGCCAGGGCTGCCCAGGGCTGCGGCCTTCTAGCTAGTGGTTGATTCCCGCCGAGTTGGCAACTAATTCTACATGGATATATCTATACCTGGGTCGGAAGCCAACTCAGCGGTTTACCTTACATAACCACTATACCATCTGGACGACATTCTATTCTATTAATTACTATTATTAATGCGTGGCATTATTTTTGTACTCATGTTTAGTTTTTGAATGTTTAAATTTCCTTCTTGCTTTTTTAATAAAAAATCACTAATTAATTCAAAAATGTGAAATAGATAGGTAAAAATATTCCTCATTACTTTTGCACTCACAAATCATTATGCAAAAATATCAACTTTTAAAGCCTGAAAAACTCATGCCTGCGATTTTATCGTCAGGCGACGATTTGTAAGTGCTGTATTTTTTACGACGTATTTTATACAAATATGTTTTAAAACGGCGATGATTTTAAGCAGCTTAAATTTCGACGACAATATTTTATTTCACGACGTTTTAGAACTGCGATGTTTTCGGTTTGCTTTCTTGTCTCCCATGATTTCGTAACGACGTTTTTACCTTGCGTTGTTTTGTTCGCAGCGTTTTCTTCCGCGATGTTTTCTGCGGACGCTCTTCAAATCCAGGTTTAGCTTTACTGCACCATGTCTTTTCCAGTATCTTACTTTCCTCTTTCCCAATGTGTTGAAATATTTAGGAGTACAGAAAAAATGTCATTATGCTCTTTTTAATGTAAAGAAAATTGTTAATCGTCCCACTTGACCGAAAGTTAAGCTTGCTGAAATACCAAGCTTAAATTTCAGTCTCATTCAGTACGGACCTTTTATAAAGCCACAAATCCATGTATGAATGTGTGCCAAACTATAGAGATCCCTATATAGTCAAAAGTCGTTAATTCGGACTCCCTTAATCCGGAATGATCTATAATCCGGATCTCAAAGCTAAAAACTCTGCGCATGCGTCGCGTTGACACATGCGCATAGGCGTTTACGCGTGCGCGTAAGACCTTCACGACTGCGCATATGCGTGTGCGCAAACGCAGAATACGTTTTCGCGTGCGCGTTTAATGTATAACGGACGGTATAAAGCTAAAATTATCTAATTATCTATTTCAGTTAATGTTGATGATTGCGTTGTTCCTTAATCTTCAAATTGGATTCGGCTTATTATTTTTTGCAGACTGTAAGAGCAATTTTATAAAAGTAAGCTTAAACTTCCGATTATGTCAAATAGAATTCCCGATGTTGGAGCTCCCAAAGGATCTACAAAACGAAAGTATGTTTCGATGTTCACTTTTTGTCTATCAAACAAAAAGTGGAAAAATTGCTGCAAAAAATGGATAAAGACATGAAGAAGGTGACAGAGAGGTTAGTGAAAACGAAAAAATTTCGATTGACAAGTTAGTCGGTATTCTCGGCACAGCAATTACGGGACTTGAACAGCGGAACTTTGTAACTGAACAAGAAATTATGTCTGTTTATAGAATTAAAGAGAAAGTATTATCACATAAAACGAAGCAACTTAAACAACTTACATTGAAAGAAATGTTTAATAAAGTAAACAAATAAATATTAAGCTTTTTTTTTTGTAAATTTTGATACCCTTTAGATCATAATTGTTCTTTATTTCATAAATTACGGTTTCATATTTTTAATTTTAGGATTTCTGCATGCCATCTTACGAGATTTAAACTAATGATCTATAATCCGGAAAAATCGATAATCTGGAATCGCCGAAGTCCCGACGATTCCGGATTAACGACTTTTGACTGTACAACTGCTGTGAAGCTACTGCATGGCTTGAAAGCAAATTTAACCCAGCTGGACGATTTCTCCACTGAATCTTTCTCTCTCCGTTATTTTTCTGCGTCCTCATGTCTGTACTGAGAGCTGTTGATTCTGTCCATAGATGCAATGAAGAATGGGACTTCAAAGTGAAACCCATGGAACATGGGTGAGAAACTGCAGAAAATTCATTAAAATTGTTCACCTGCTTCATAATGATTTTAGGAATTTTCAGCATGTCCAAGTGCGTTATCATTTAACAACTGCTGCTGTTTGGCTATCAGCAGCATCGCCAAACTGCACGGTTTGATATTACAGCCTACTTCTGACAGACGTACTGAGTTTTGTTTTGGCACATGGCACGATAAGTGTAGTTTTCTGAAAATTCTTATATGATTTCAGTAAGATTACAGGTTGTGGAATTTTGGCACATAACCTGATATATTATTAACAACATATCAAGTAAGTACGTTAATGTTTTAAGCAAACTCACATAAATCTTAGTGAAGTTAACCTAAGATCCAGTCTTCTAGAAACTTCCTTAACAGACTGACACATTTCCTGATTATTAAACTGGGCTGCTGGAAGGACAGGTCTACATCCTCGAAGCTGATGATAAGGAAGTAAAGGAAGAGTTGGAAGACCTTTCGCATTTAAGACAGCTAATTTCTACGCAGATGAGATCGGAAATCTTGAGTATTGGAAGAAGGGGATTATCGCGGATAGCTTTAAAGTTTTATAATAATTCAGTTTTCGATTTTGTACAAAATACATGCTCAGGATATGAAACCTTGTTGAAATGGAAATTATATCTGCATTAAAAAGAATAATGAATAGATGTATTATTATAAGACTTTTTCTAAATGAATAACACCCATTTTAAAATTTTGCTTACATATGCTGTTCTAGAAGAAAAGAAAGAAAATTCAAGATAAATTAATATTTAATGTTTAATTTGAGCCATACAATGCATAAAGATGACTATGAATATATTTCTACAAATTGAAATATAAAAAAATTAAATTGAAATTTTTTAGCTATAAATTTAGCAAATCAATAAAAATAAGTTGTCTTCCACTACATGTCAAGTCTGTTAGCTTGAAATTATTTTATCCACAATTAGTTTGTAAATTTGCCTAAAGGGGACAGTACATATGCAAAAAAACTTATATAATTAATTTTTATCATGAATATAACACATCAATAGTTCGTATTTCAAATAATTAAACTTCTTTATTTAAAAAAATAAATTAGGTTACAAAACAAAGATTGTTAAATAACGTGAAACGTGAAAGGGACAAGCAATTTTGCCTACGATCACATTTTTTAAGACTTATATCTAAAAAAATTCATTTTATTTTTTATATTTTAAAATTGTAGAAATACATTTATAGTCCTCTTTATGCAATGCATTCCTCAAATTAAACTTTAAATATTAATTTATTAGTCCAAAGGGGCTTTGTCCCTTAAGAACTATTGCTTTGGTTTTGCGATTTTGCTCTGAATCACTCTGAATGTCCGTTTCACTTTTCAAACTGTTGCCACCAAATATTATCGCCCTGTATTATATTTGAAGAAGTTAAATAATGAAGAATCTGCATAAATGTATGTATGTTTCTTGCATTGTGATAAAACAACGGTACCTAGAGCCATCCAATTTTGAATGACGTAATCCTACTGCAAATATGGGCATCTGGAAGACCAAATTTGAAATTTGAAATTTGTTTTATTATCGATTTCCTATTTTGTAAAATTTTAACGAATCTTTGATTAACAAACTCAACGATTTAAAAGCGAGCAATGGCAACACTCTACGGAAGGGGGAAAAACCTTTTTATCTCCAGCGCGAGGAACTGTGTATGGGAAATTCTAAAGGTATGCTCATTTAAAAATTATTTTGTGACATTGCTATTGAACTGAATTTTATGGTTTCAGAGCAAAACGTATGATAATAAATAAGTAAAGGCAGCACACAAAACATTAAAAAAATGCCTCTTTGGACGTAATTTAAAATCTGAAACCTTTCAGATTTTTTAAAAAAATTTTCTTTCTTTTTTTCTGAGACAGCATATGTAAGCAAAATTTAAAATTGGGCCATAAGATACATTCCAATAACCTCATAAATTACGTGCTTAACTTATAGTTAATGTAAACAGAGAATGTTATTCATCCTCTTCTTCTCTTACAGAACGTGTCTCATTTGCTCGACCGCGAGGAAAAACATGTAGCGAAAATCAGTGAATAAATGCATTGTGAATGAAACATCTACCATTATTTACCATTTCCCACAATTGTGAAGAATTTTTGATAAAAATCTAACACAGAAAATCAACAGAAAACTTTTTAAAGAAATCTCAAAAAGAATTATACGTAATAAAGATAATGGACATTATTACTAACACATTTGGCGGTTACGTCTTAAGTAACATTAAACGAATTTCCAAACGAAGGTTCCCGTTGTTTACTTTAAAACAAAAATGCTATTACCATATAAGCAAATACAGCTGTTCATAGATGCCAGTATTTTTCATATGTAATGATAAGGTATGGAATTCACTCGTATTAACAAATACAATTCAAGGAAAGATAAAATGAATATATTTATATTGTTACGTTTCCATAGTTACCTTGGGAGGCGTCCAAAAATTCGTAGTTCGCATTGAATCCATCTCGAGATACACTAATATCGGTCACAAACTTTACTATTATGGTGTTTTCCAATGAAGTTAGAATTGGCGGTGTTCTGCTGCCACAAAACCTACAAGGAATGTAACACGTCGAGTATTATTAATATCACTGATACTATAACCGCAAAAAGTTTTGCGGCTTCGCAGCTGAGGATGGTGGTTCGGTAAAGCCATCGAAACTAGTCCTGTGAAAATCTTCAATATAACGCTGATTTTTGTTGTTTGTCTTCTGAATCATTGGTACTTCTTTTTTATCGGGTCAGTCCATTAGTTCGTGCGCATTAACCCTCTGGCGGCTCATCCCGCGATTTCCACGGGCAACTCAAATGTAGCAAAGTCTGCTCATCCCGCGATTTCCGGCATGTGTTTTTCTTCCTTTATTGAGGAGCATCCCGTTTTTTCCCGTTTAAACCATTGAAATAAATTATACAGTATTGACGTATAGTTTATGTTTTGGCCAACATATATCGTTAGTGTCCACTAAATTTCGGGATTTGAAGGTACCGTGGTATTACCGCTCAAACTTCACTTTTTGCCGCATTTTTCTTACAGAAATGGCTGCTAGAAAACGTTAGCGATATCTTGATTATGAATAAAATTGTTGAATATTAATTCGATTTATTGATTAGATTTATAATTAAATTGTTATTAATTAGATTTATGAATCTGGCGCGAAGATGTGAAGTTGGACTTTGCCTTGAACCCTGTTTTAACTCTATCGTACTAAACTGCATTCTAAGGATTTTTTCATCAGTGCTTCATATTTTCTTAAAATTTATACATTTTACTTTTTTATATTATGTAAAATTGAAAATTAACTGTAATTCGATTGAATTTATTAATTATTTATTTATTTATTTATTTATTTATTTATTTTTTTTTGCTGATATAGCATCTGAAATGGTTTTTCTGGCAACTTAGTTTCTCATGAAACAATCTACATAAAAGTGTTTTCTGGAAAGAAAAAGTGCATTTTTCAACTTTCCAATATATATATAGATTTAAAATATGAAAAAAAAATTACACATTTTTTGAAGCGCTTTTGGTCCACAAATTGATCAGTCAGAGGGTTAAGAGAATGCGTGGAATTCACTATGACGCATTTACTAAAACAATACAATTTTGAATCTGTTGAAACTTGTCGTCGTTTGACTAACATATTATTCAGTTCATCACCAACTTTCGTAAATATCGAACGCATTTTAGTACCCATAGAAGATGAATATAGATAATCAGTAAAAATGTTCGGTGCTACATTTTTTTTTTCGTGTGGTGAATCTTCCAGGTTTGCAGCGATAAAAATTAATAGTGTACATGGTGAAGACACTATTAGTGTAAGGACTAACCAGAAATGGTTTAAAAAATTTAAAGTTGGCATTGATGATGAACCTCGTTCAGGACGTTTTGAACCATTAGAACCAAATCAAACGACTCATTCAGAAGTTTATAGTAAACACCTCTGCCGTCTAAACTCAGAATTAACCTTAAAACGCCCACGATTGGTGAATATCAAGAAGGTTTTGTTTCATCATGACAACGCTAGACCGCATACGGCTCGAACAACGCTGTAAAAAAATAGTGAATTTAATTGGGAGCTTTTCTCATATCCTGCTTACTCCCCAGATATTACCCCAAGTGATTTTCACTTATTTCGTGCCTTACAAAATGTTTTACTGGAAAAAAAATTAAATTCTAAACGGGATGTACACAATGAACTTTCAAGTTTTTTTGCATCAAAACCAGTCTTTCTACAGCAATTGCATGAAAAGCTGCCTGTAAGATGGCGAGACTTTGTTAAGTAATGGAGGAAAATATATAATTGATTAAAATGTTAAATTGTGTGTTTTTATATTATTTAAAAATTTACCAAAAAAGGCGCACGAATTTATGGACTGACCCAATATAAATCAACTCCGTTTACACCAAGCAATTTATAAAATTAAAAACTGCTTAATTTGCTTGGAATATTTTAATCATGGAAACGCAATAAATAACCATTAAATTAAATTATTAGAATTTTTTGATACAACTATACTTCAGTTTAACTAATCGAATAACTTTGGTACGTTTTCTAATCGAGTTAGAGTTGTACTAACATAATATTTCCTATTGGAATGTAATAATTTGTATAATACACAAGACACTATAATTTTTCATTAGCAACATAGCTACAGCCATGTGCATCATTGCTGTATATATTAAAACATATGATGTGGATACCGCAGGGACTTCCATCTAAGGCCTATTAAATTATAGTAATTTTTTTCTGCCCTTCGTTTAAAATTATTCCTTCGAATTTCATTACAGATAAGTTATAGCAATTTTTTCCTATTATTTTATTTTTTCCTATTATTTTTCCTATTACTGTTTTCTTATTATTTTTTTCCTATGTATTTTATTTTACATATAATTAAATTATAGTAGTTTTTTCCTGCCCTTAGTTTAAACTTATTCCTTCGAATTTCATTACAGATAAGTTTCTCACTGAATCAAATCAGTTCTCACTTCGCGGTAAGGCAAAATTAGATATAAACTCAGTCTTCATTAAAAATTGAAAAGGAAAAACACCAAATAGAGTTAAAAAACAATTAAAGAGCAAATTTACAATTAAATTTAAAGTTTCTACGCAAAAACAATCAACTCGGGCAGCGGGCGAGAAGACCATATTTTCGGTGCGTAAAATTGGAAGTTAATGCTCGGTCACACTGGTCAAAAAGATACCGAAGTCGCTGCACCAAGTGACTATTCTACTAAGCGTTTCTAACGCAAATAATGCGACTTCGTTAGGCTTAGCAACATCGCTTAAATCTTTAAATCATTGATAATTCTAAAACTATTGCATGCACATTCACTAAAGGCATAAAATTCTTAATCAGAAAATAAGAACAGCATAATTCAATCACGTTTAAGCCAAAAAATGCACAATTTACCAACATGTAAGACTAAAAAAATTAGCTCACCAAGCCGGGTAACAGAATGAAATTTATATATATTTATGTACGTCTGATGCGGCCGATCGCTATGCAAAAAGGAGGTGCACAACTACATGTTATAAGATCCCCTATACAAAAATTTCAACAGTCTACGGCTACAAAATTTCAGCATTCTATGGCTACAAAATTTCAACATTCTACGGCTACAAAATTTCAACTCAACATTCTACGGCTACAAAATTTCAACTCAACATTCTACGGCTACAAAATACCCGTTTTTGAGTTATGCAAGATATATATGTACGTACAGATGTCAAGGAAAAACATCCTCTTACTAATCCATTTTACGAGCCGTTTTGGAAAAATGAAATCTTTATTCTGTCCAAACTTACAGATGTCACAGAAAAACATCGTTCGAACGGATTCAAGAGTGGTCCAAATGGATATTTTCGTTAAAATATGACACCCGAAATTTTACGGCCAATTGATTGATATTAAGCTTGTTGAAAGTATGCTTGAAAGGGACCGTATCTGTTATGAAATTATTGAAAACGAAGTTGGGGCGAATGCGTCTTTCATCCCATTATTATTGCCAGGTTGTAATAGAATGTTGCTACAACAGATACTTGGAGTGTAGTATTGGCCACCTTGTGCGGAGTCCTGAAGTTTAATGCTGCCACGTTGCTCAGATGTTGCTTATTTATTCTCAACGCGTCCAACGTAAGCGCGTATCTATAGATGTCGACAGAGAATTCTGAAACGGCCATAAATTCCTTACAGATTTCCTGAGTTATTGCAGATTGTTTGAAGTCGGTAATTATTGCTTCGATGCCGAAGCGAATTGTGATTTGTTCTGTTTCTATTTCAGTTGTAAGCTGCATCGCAAACTTTATGGCTGTTACGTCAGTTTGAAAAACACTGAAGCTGATAGGAATTTTCTAAGCATCTGCAGTATTGAAAATCCCAATAACGACTAAAAAAATTCTCTTATAAAACATTTTACTCTAATTAGCATATGGAAGTAAAATGAGTATCGTTTATTTGCCGGTTATTTCAGAATTCTTGTCTGTCTTGTATAACATACAACAAGCCACAATAAAGACAACAAACATAAAGTTATCTTAAAAATTCTCACCTTCCCAAAGAAGCTCCACTGCTTTCTTCAACATCGACATAGTCGAACCGACACTGACTGTCCCTTTCGAGATAGAATGAGGTAAATGTCAGACGGATGACATGTGTTTCCGGAGCCCTTATAAGCCATCTGCATGTAAGTGAATGTGGATACCTATCCGGATGTCTAGGTGAAGATATCTGCCCTCTATCTTCTGTCAGTAAGCCACCGCAACCTGCCAAAATGACACATTTTTAGGAACAAATAAGTAAATTAATATTATTTCCAAGGTATTCTCTTCATAGATTATTGCAGATGATATAAGACACACTGAAGTTAGGAATTAAAAAGTTAAATCTAGAAATATTTAAATTTGCTATTAATATAGTAATACTCCTAAGCTATTTTTATTCATTGTTATTTTTTCGCTAAGAAATTTCTTTAATTAATTATATATATAATTATCGTTTGTGCTTTCTACTTTACTTTAAAATTATATATTAATATATATATATATAATAAGCAGTACCAGATATAAAAATATTTCGCAATCGAGTTGTAACAGTACTTTTTTTAATTAATCTCAATAATTATGTCTAACTTCAGCTTTGTACGCCAATTACAATTATTTACTTAGCTTTCTCGGAAGAAGCGTTTGTTACAGTTACTGACGCAATGCGTATTTACATAAAATTTACTGATTCGCTCTGTATTTCATTTTGCTTCGTTGATTATGGATGTTTCAAAATTATGTAATATTTGTAAGCTACAAATCATTGAAAAGAGAAGAAAATATTATGTAACTTTCAATGGATCAGAGCACTGAAATGATTAGAACAAAACACATTTTATATTGGAACCGAAAACTTTATTTATGGAAATCGAAAGGCCTCGAGAATTGTCAAAACGATTTCAAAACGCTAGAACTACTGACTTAATTCACTATTCTACTAACAGTTTCAAATGAAAACAAATGGCGACATTGTTCGGCCGAGAGCCACTTAAACTTTTAAATTGTCGATAATTCTATAACTATTGCATGCAGCTTAAATAAGGGCCTGAAAACTTCATCCGGAACATAAGGATGATATAATTCAGCCTTTTTTAATGCTAAACATGCACATTTTGCCAACATATAAGAATAAAAATATTGAGCTCACCAAGCCGGATAGCAGAGTGGGTATATATATATATATATACATACGTTTGGTGCAGCCGATTGCGTCTATAAAGGGAGGTGCACAACTACATGTTATATCAGTCCCATATGCAACATACGTACAGATGTGACGATTAAAAATCTCTACTGAATCCATTTTTATATCCATTTAACAATCAGTTTTGGAAAAAAGAGTTTATTTTCACATACAGATATAGATAGATAGATACACAAGGTCACTCAAATAAATCATTCAAATAAATTCGAGAGTGGTCAAAATGCATATTTTCTTTGAAGTATGATAACCGAAATTTTCGCCATTGCAACACTTCCTTTACTTCGTACAAGGCAGTAAAAAATATTATGTTTAAAGTTATGTATAATATTGTTGTTTCAAACAATGAATCTAGCAGTTCTTTTTTAATAAAAACTGCATTACAAAAGGAAACAAAATTGTACTAAAATCATTATAGGCTAGGCTATGTTATCAGATACTTGTTTGTATTTAATCAACAAACTCTAGGTGCTTTTTTTCGAGATTTAGTCAGTTCTTTCATCGATGAGTTTAACTCTTCTCACACTTCAGCAAATTTCAGAATATTGATATTTAGATATATACTTCGAGTGTGACATTGACCACCTTGGGTGGAGTCCTGAAGTTTAATGCTGCCACTTCTGGTTTTCGTGTATACATGCACTGGATGGCAGTAAGAAAAGTTTACTTACAGTTAAATTTTGAGTTGAAGTTCCTTTCCTGTCGATTCTTAACTTCAGCTTACTATTTCCGGCCAGAACGTAGTTTTAGAATCACTCTGAATACATAATGAGGAAGAGCGGCATTTAACCGCGAAGTTCTACTTGCTGAATTAGAGAGAATCAGAGTTTCTGATTAGCGTGCGTCCGCCTTTTTGGCTATTCTCTGCAAAAGCTGTTGTTACGCTCGGCCGTACTCAGGCCCTTGATAACTTCGCAGTGAATTAGCTTTAAAAGGCCAACTCGGTTAGAATCTTGATAGCTTCGGCTATATCTCTTTAGTTTAGATTAGTTTTGGTTTATTTCTTAGCCTTTTGAGTTCAAGCCCAAGTGTCGGCTTTTATTGTACACTCCAAGACGGAGTTCTGTTAAATCTTATCTGAATAATAAAGGGTTAGTTACCCTTCCATCTTGTTGTTTCTTGTCGAAAGAACTTAAGCGATTATTCGCTTAGCAGTTCTTAAGATTCTTCACGTTCTACTGTAATTTAGCACTTACAAAGTAAGGAACTCTACATCTCTTTCGAGCAAACAGATATTAAGAAGATAAGTAATTGTTTTTTACCCACTGCCATGCCTTCATAGACGCTATAAAATCCTCGATTTTGGATACTTCCATCAGTTTCGAACTTCATCCACAAAAAGTTGTATGAGGATATAATACTCTCTGGTATCCAGTAACCGCAAATGTGACTTAGAAGAGGTGCTTCTTCCGAATCACCGTCATGAACCTAATAAATGTAGATGCCATTAGAACATTTGTTAGAGACTAAAAAAAAATTTTACAGCTTTTAATATATGATATGAAAGTAACTAATAGAACCGCAATTTTTTATTCATAAAGTGAGTAACTGTTATTCAAATTTAAGGCTTGGATATTCTGTAATCGAGAAAGAGATCGTGTTTCGCGCCCTTATCTAAATCACCATTTTAAATTTCAACTGAAAGTACGATTTAATATCGTATTATATGACACTTTCTAGCGCAATTCTTCCTTTTACTTTTTATTGATTAACCATTAAGGTAAAGGGACAGTGCCCACCTCCTTTGTCAGTTATCACTTATCACTTTACTTTTTATCTTCCTTAACTTCAAATTTTTTTATTATTTTAATTAATTATTTTATTTTTATTATAAGGACTTGCTACAAAAGAATATCTTACATTCAGTAATGATGCGCTAACTCATAATTTCTGTTAAAATTACAACAGCTGATAACAAATTCAAGCTGTCGATTTTATCACCTTTCCTCTACATACTTCCAATAGAAACCAAGAACCTAAAGATTACTTCATTTCTGATGTAAATATTGTAAGCATATACGTTCTGTGTCTAGATGTAAAAAGTTATTAAATAAAAGCGCTCTACTTTTTCACAGAAAATAAGACGTTTCTATAAATATACAATACTACATAATGATGGCAATGCTAAGGAATACATATAGTGTATAAGTTAGAATACCTGCGTCATCCATAACAGTTAATTAAAATAAATTCAAGCTGTAATGGCTCTATTTATATAGGGTGATTCTCTACAATGCGACAAAATTTGCAGGAGGTGTAGACGGTTCGGAATCACACATCATTGCTTGCGGGGTTCAAAATGCCTTCGTCATGCGATAAAAGGCGTCGAACGGGAGGTTGCATATACAGTGATCCCGCTGGATATCAGCATTTGGGAAACTGTTGCCGAGGATGTAAGCTTCAAAGGTTGAACTGGCCTACTTGCATGGTGTCCTCCGAAAACATGGCGGACGAAAACGTCGCTGAGGAAATAACGTAAGGAGAAAACGTCGTGTTACAAAACATTGCGGCAGAAAACATCGCAAAGACAAAACATCGCTGTTCTAAAACATCGTGGTACAAAATATCGTGGTCGAAATTAAAGCGGTTCAAAAACTTCGCCGTTTAAAACATCGTCGTCCAAAATATCATGATAAAAAAATAAAGTACCTGCATGACGATAACATCGCACACACGCGTTTTCAGGTTTTGAAAGTTGTAAATGCATGTTCGTATAAAGATCATAGAGCGCAAGAAGGAAAGAGGATTCTTTTAGTTCTATATTTTACAAATTGAAAATGAGTAGAGAATTAATGCAACTTAAAAAGCTTAATAGAATTTTAAATTTATATAGTTAATTAACATAGGTCATTAATAAAATAAGCATTTTTACTAAAGTTGACCTGATAATTTTTCATGAAAAGTACAGTGTCAAAATGCTTAAAAAGGAAGATAAATAGCTGCATGAGGTTACCTCTGTAATAATTGTTTAGTTAATGATAAAATTATTTTCTTTCACATTTGTTAATCTGATATTGTTTTAATGAACATTACACATTGTTTTGTTTCCGTTTATTTTTAAAGTGTATTTAACATTTTCATGTATAGCGTGCAATTAATGTTTTAGGTATCGTTTTTTTTATGTGTGACAAAAGTCAGTTACATAATATGTCACTATGCGGTTGGAAAAACGCATATATGAGATGTAATCGTCATGCTATGATTTGTAGGTACTTTATTTTTTACCACGATATTTTTAAACTGTGAAATTTTTGAACCGCTTTATTTTCGAGCACTATATTTTGTATGACGATATTTTAGAACTGCGAATGTTTTCTCCCACGATGTTTTGTACCACGCCGTTTTCTCCTTGCATTGTTTTCTCCGCCCCGTTTTCGTCCGCGATGTTTTTGCCGCGATACTTTCGGCTGTAACCAACATTGATTTCGTGTAAGAAGTTGCGGACAGTAAAAGGCGTGCCGCTCTGCGCTTATACGAGAAACATTTCCCACACAGACGTGAACCTCTTCATACGATCTTTGCAGAGTAGAGAAGTTTACGTGAGGCTGGTTGTTTCAGGAGAGCTACCAGGAATCGAATGTCAAGTACGCCAGACAATGGGGAGAATGGCCTAAGTCTAGTAGAAAGCAGTCCCAGTACGAGTACTTCAGCAATAGGCCAATTATTGGGTTTGTCCCAACGTGCTGTATGGAGAATATTGTCAACAAATCAAATGAAAACCTATTATCTATAACACGTCCAGTCACTGGAGGCAGCCTATTATCCACTCCTGAGGAATATTGCCACTTGGTAGCTTCAACAGAGTACGATAGGACGAGCATTTGATAAATCTGTATTGTCTGCGGATGAGGCACTTTTCACAAGAAAGGGAGCCTTTAATCATGATAATGCCTATTTGTGAGCTTTTGAAAATCCCTATGGTACGCGAGCACATACAAATCAAAGGCGTTTCTTTGTCAGTGATTAGGTCGGTCTCGCTGGTGACTACCTTTTTGGACCTATTTTCTGCCTTTTTATCAGGATGACAGGGCATACTTCATCTTCCTACATCAAGTCCTGCCAGAGCTTATTAAAGAAGCACATGTCCCTTAGTCGTTGATGTACTCAATATGGCTCCAACATGATGGGGTACTCCCATATTAGACCATATTTATGGTCTAAACATTGCATTTGATTAACACTGGGTAGATGAAGGTAGTCCGATTCAACGGCTTGCTAATTCGCGTCACCTTTCGTGCCTGAAATGTTTTTTGCTGGAGTCAAATGAAGATACTGATGTGCGAGACTCCTACCCATTTAGTTGAAGACCTCGTCACTCGTATTGTTGTAGTTACCGGGGAAATGCGAAACACGGTCATGAAGTTTTGCAGAATGTCAGGAATTAAATACGACGCAACTGTGAAGCCTGTGGGTGACTGCAACTGATGGGAATTTCGACCGCCCTTATGTAAAACTTGTACACACTTGCCAGTATGAAAACACCAATGAACTTATTAATTAAAATGATTTATGTTACACTAACTTGTTGCTGTTCCACTGCTTTGCATTTTTAAACCCAGTTCGCGTAGAAGACGTTTCGGTCCCTGCACTGCTATGTGATTCCGAATCATCTTTGTGCCTCCTCCACTTCCTGAAAGTTTGTCACACTGGTAATGAATCACCTTTTAGATGTCAATTAGTAAACATAATGTTGTGAGCTATTGGTTTATTGGTATCTTTTTGAAGGATCACTCCAGGTAAGCAAGAAAAAGGTTAAGAATCTATTTTAAAAATTCATAATGCATACCACAACACATATCTGTAAATAACTCAAAAAGAACCAGATATTAAGCAATTCTTATCTCATAAGAAATATTACCGTTCACACAGAAAACTCGCAATTTAGCTAATGCACCAAACGCTAAAACTTACGATTAATTCACTATTTGCTGTCGGAGTCGTGTTTATATTGCATAGCACAGACTTCTGGAAGCTTGGGAATAATAGATGGTAGGACTTAGAAAATGTGGTTTTCCAAATCTTTATTCGTCCACCAGGCGGCCAGAGTGCTACTGCCATAGTACCTAACTATACCCCAGAGTGCTACTGCCATAGTACTTACTATGGCAGTAGCACTCTGGGGTAACAAAACAGGAGTCTGGCGATAAAAAAACACCCAGGGAAGATCATTTTATCCCATTGGAGCATGGAGGGGAAATGACGAAGGCTTTGAACCTGTGAGGAGAGAGGTAATCATTCTGTCAGGCGGTTGGCCCACCAGAGGTTGGGCGGAACCTTTGGTGAGAAGCGTCTGTACTCCGCACAAACCTATAATCCGCCTGATGTGGTTGACCCACAGGGGATGGGTTCTAGACGCATAGTGCTCGTGGGAGCATCTTGAAGACCAGTTCTCCACGTTTCTGTTGTTCCCTCCATTGTTTTGTTTTTTAGATTATGCACATTTTGTTTCTCCCTATCTGTTCGTCAAGGTCTCTCAAATCTGTAAAACAAACAATCCGTCCTTGTTGGCCTTAAAGCCTTTCCGTTTCAATAACCCCCCCAGGCAGCCGCTCAGGGCTCGAGCAAGTGTTGACGTAATATAGGAGCGGCGTGGGACCTCGCCTTTACTATGTTACACACAGGCGTCCCGTCATCTGACTATTCCCTCCATTGTGGTCTCTGAGCTCCGAGAGCAGTGACCCTGGTTACTTACCCAGTTTAGCAGTTGTCATAAGGGAATTTCTTAAAGTCTGCAGTCTCGGGTTGGACCTTGGGGCGGCATCATGATTGGCATACAACTTACACCTCGAAAGGGACCAATGACTTTATAACCCACCTTCTGCTTACTCAGCAAGACCCAGTCCTTGTAGTGCTTGACAAATCGATAACGGAACACATACTTAAAACCATTATAATTACAGTCCCTCCCTCAGGCAGATAGCACTAACATAATTTTCCATAATCAAATAAACCAACCAAACCGAATCCTCCTGCAAGACGTCAATGAGAGTTTGCGAGAAATCGCTAAAAGTCGTCACCTTGGCAATGAAAACTGTCGCTAAAGCCCGCTAGGAGCACATTTGCCTGTATCTCGTCTTCTACTTGAGCCATTTTTAAATTTTAAGACTTGCGGGACGTGAAATTGAATAATGTAGAATTCTATACAGGAAACAAGCATTTATATACACTCAATTCCAAAAGTTAAGCACGGAGAGGAAAATGTTAATTTCCAGAAGCCAATCAGAATTGAAGAGGATGCAATTCGCTGCAGAGGTAGATGGAAGTATGGGAATACGTTAGTAACAGACAATTGCGCTTCATGTCAGAAAATATACACAAAGGGAATTATAAGCCAGCTTTAGAAGGTTCAGAAAACAGAGTTATTGTAAGTGCTGATAGAAGGTGTTTAAATTCGTACAATTTTTTCAGACATACGTGTTTCTATGACTTCCAGCGAGAAGGAAGATCTGAGCGCTGACGTGTTGTAGGGCGCATTAAGCAGGACAGTCGATCACAGTTTGTTTCTTTCTTTGCTTATCATTCGGTTTTCAGTTTAGGAACAATTTCAAACCACAGGCAGTTTTCCGAAGGCCCGGCCCTCTCCAAGGGTTACAACCTACGCAGGAGATTGGTCTATTGTAGTGTAGCCAAGCGGAATCGCAGAGCGACATCCCACTTGACTCTATGTACAACACCATTGGTGAAAGGCGAATCTGCAGCTACTGTACCCCGAAGATTCATTGAGTGAACTGTACGCCGGTACCTCGATTTGTGTTCCTCTATCCGGCAATCAAGAGCGGCACGATACGTGTGCGGGGGAACATATCAGTTGGATGTGTCTACTGGGGCAATGCCATGTTTCTATGGGTCAAGATTTGCTCATCAGCCAGATGACAGCGATAAGGATATGGCGGAACAACGAACAGCAATCAGTCCCAAAAACATACCGAACATCACGCATTTCGAGGCGGAAGCATTATGGTGTGGGCAGGGATTTCATTAGTATATCACATCGACCTGCACTCTTAAAAGGGGTTCTTTGACGGCCGCCGGCATCGAGATGAAGTTCTAGAACCATTGTGGGATGGTACGCTGCAGCAGTTGGCCCTACTTTTGTTTTATGGCTGATAAAGCACGTCCCATAGACTGACATCGTCGATGACACCTGGAGAGTGACGGGATTGCGCGGTGGCCAGATATTCGCCCGACCTTAACCCCATGAAAATCTTTGGGATGCTCTCGACCATGCTGTATCTTTACGTTTCCCACCTCAGCTCTCTATTGAGCTGCAAACTGCTCTACAAGAAGATGGCGAGTGCTTAATTCTGCAATAGTTGACCACCTAATTGAAAGCATGGTCACAAGGTGTAAACTTTGTATACAGATGAGGGAGGATCACATATCCTTTTAATGTCCTTTTTTTCATTTTATGCTGTTTATTTTCACTTTTAAATAATTTAAACTAATTCTGTTTAAGTCTCCAGTATGTCATTATCTGATAACTTACAAAAATTTAATATTGTTTTCATTTATGTATATAATTATTGATTTTTTTATGCATAAATATATATGCTACTTTCCTGCCGAATTTTGTGTCAATCAAAGCAGTATTTGTTGATTTTTTGCATTTTACATCTTCGTGCTTAACTTTTGGAAGTGAGTGTACGAAAGATATAGCGACAAATTTGATAAAACACAACACAAACTCTAAAATTGTCACCCAAAAAGCAGCAAATCAATAAATAAACAAGTAAAGCAATACATAATATTAATGCAATCAAAACGATTTTAAGCATTTACAAAAATAAGAAACATGTGCTTATTTTAATGCAACAAAGTAAAGCAAACCTTTTGCTTGATCATATATTTACACATAATAAAGAAATAA